ACTTGGACTACGATGCTGCTGGCGCAAATTCAGAAGTTAGCTCCATTGAGGAAACAGCCTCAGAGGTGCGTATCAGATATCGTCGAAGCACACAGTCCGAGGTGAGTGATCCAGATTTGTGGATCTTGATGCAGCACGAGGAAAGCCATGAAGCAGAGAGCCCAGAGTTTGATGAGGAGACATGAAAGTTTCCAGAAAATCTCATTTGCAGAGATGTTCATGTGCAGCCATGAGCGCTGGATATGAGCAAGAGCAAGGTGCCTTAACCGGAGGGTAATGTGAGTCTCCGTTGGCACTAGGGATTTTACCTAGAGGAATTAGAGTGTTTCATCATTTGTGCTGGACCCATACTCCAAAGGAGTAATGCAAGAAGTGGCATCCCATACGTTGGACCCCAGTGGCAATTGGGCCAGTGCAAAACTTTTCCAAATTTCTTTTGCAGTGATGGCACATAGACTAAAGTCTGTGCCAAGGCGGGGTGAAACAGTTTTACTCCGTTTGTATTCCAGCTCCAATAGCGTATATTCAGTTGTTAGAAACATGTCAACTCAATGTGCAACATGCACATGTGAATCACTATCATGTTGAGGCGCTTTTGACTCAAGGAACAATTTCATTTTCGGAAAGGCAAACAAGAGAAAACGAGTAAAATCGTATAAGCAAACAATAACCAAAAACTTGGGGATAAAAAAAAGGGACAAAACGAAAACATCTCATGCCTTCCCCTGTTTGTCCAAAAAAACGGAAATGAATGCAAAAAGAAAAGGACATTAAAAAAATGGATGTAAAATGAATGTAAAATGAAAGAAAAATCAAAAAATAATGAGAGGAAATATGAGGAAATGAATGCAAATGAAAGGTAAACTGAAGTAAACAAATATAACATGAAAGGGAAACCAAAGGAAACCAAAGAAAATGAAAGGAAATTAATGAATGCAAAATCAAACGAAATGAACGCACAATCAAAACAAAATGAAAGGCACATGAAAGGAAATGAATGCAAAATGAAAAATGACGGGAAATTTCAGAAAATGAATGCCACATGAAAAAACTTGAAAAAATGAGTGTAAAAAGGCAAACATATGAAACAAAATGACGGGAAATAAAAGGAAAATGCACGTATCATAAAGGAAATGATAAAATATGTAATAAAAAATCAAAGAAGGAAATTGAGGGATGCAAGATGACGCAAAAATACCTTCTCATGCCTTTTGTTTTTTTTCAATTCCATATTAATTATTTTAATTTCTTTTGCATTCGTGTTTACATTTCCTCTCTTCATGAAGTGCCATGAAAGATCAAAAAATTGCGACGATGTTCAACGGGAACGATACATGTCCCTTTTTGTAATTTACATGGGGGGAATATTGATATGCATGCTAAAGAAGGGGGTGTCACATCCCTCCCTAACGTAGTTTTGATCTTTCATTATGGAACGGGCACCCGCGTTTAAACCAAAAACATGCGGAGGGTCAACGTCCAATGCCGTGTGACCAAAAGGGACGTGATACAGGTAGTTTTATACAATAGTGCGTCCTTGTCTGGAAACGATTGAAAATGGAACGCATTAACCAGTTTCGCCCCAAAAGCGCAAACATGATATCGGTCCTATTCTTTCTTCATATTTTCAATTATCATTTTTCTTGAATTTCCTGCGATGGATGAAATTCGTGATCTGGGTTTTTGAAGAAAGTAACACAACAACAATGATCATGAATTTCCAACAGAATCATAGTGAGTCATTGATGTTCAAGTGGATACAATAAAAACATGTTCGACCTACAATCATTGACTGTCGTTTTTTCATTTGCAATTTTGCCAAACAACGACGCATAATTTATCGTGCCCATGTCCGTGGAGTTTGTGGGCCGACTTCTCTTCAAAGCCACTCGCCGGGGGAAAAAAATGAAGTTGACATCTATTTTGCCGATGCAGCAGTGGTCTTGACTGTGCCAAGTGCAAATTTCAACATTTGGATTATTTGAACCTCAAAGTGCAATGAAATTGTGGACACACGGAAATGTTGTTTGGTGTGGTTTTGCTGGACCTTGGATATGCTAATGCAGTGCATTTTGCTACTGGCAACCACTTGTTTCAACTGGCAGGTAATGAAACCATTGAAGTCTGGACAAGACAAAGCACAGCCGCCAAAGTCCGACGCGAGGAGAAAAACGAACGCTTCACATTTGTGATTTTACAACTGCCATTGTGTAACACAACACCTTTTTGCAATGTCTCCAATGTATTGATGGATTGAATCTCCGCGCTTGGGTTTGTGATGTATGAATGATTCAACCCTCATTCCGAAGCGACATTGTTGAAACATGTGTAACATATTTGTCTTGTTTTTGGTTGGATCCAATTCGTTGAAAGGCGGGCCTCTCTGACATGCCTTTTGTGGGCCCACTACTGCCGCATTTTGAAGGAGCGAACAGATCTCGTTGAAAGACGCGAAAACAAAGGAACCTTTAGAGGCAATGCACAGCCACGTGATTCTTACCAAGTGCATGGCCAAGATGGGCAAACTGACAGTTGAATTAGACCTGTCACAGGATGATCATAATGGTTTAGAATCTAGAACAAGTGAAATCCAAATCAGCCAACAAAAACCGGACCTTGAACAATTTGATCAACACGACAAAATTGCAAATGGTGTTGTGGGTGCACCTTAATGATTACCCTCACACAATTTCCCAGTGGTTCAGAGTCATGCATTGCCAATTTTCAGGCAAAATCCGCCAGAGGAGGGCCTTTGAAAGCTCAATCCTCAAAGTTGCCTCCTTCCGCTACATCTGGCCTGTCTTCTGGTTGCATTCCGCACACAGATTGTGACTGTGCTGGCCCATCGTTGGAAAAAATGCGTAAGTATCAATATCCACAACTGACATTGACGTAGGGATTGCAAAATTGTTGGATTGGTTTGACCTGGACGTTTTGCTTGCTGGCAAGGGCCGAATGCCACACAACAGCGGCCTACATGTCGGTCACCGGATGAGTCGAAGGGTCCAGTGAAAGGCATCACGAAGGATCCTCGGCTGCAAAATATTCAACGGTCTTTGAGTGGTCCAGTCAGTAGTCAAATTGTGTCAACTGGCCTGGATTGAAAAGGATTGACCACTGGAACTTCACTTGGCCGGCATCAAATCAGTCCACTCAATCAAATTAAAAAAACAAATGATTTGGAGATCTCAGGTGAAAAGTTGTCAGGGCACCTGTTTCTGTACGAGCTGTTTTTGACCCAGTGGAGCTAGGACAGAGTTTGACTCCAACAGTTTCAACTTGGTTCCAATTTGGAATCTTGATCGAGTGTGTTTGAATGAAGTCAAGGCACTTTGAGGTGCATGAATAATTGCACAGCGGTTCATCAGATTAGCGTCTATGCAGTTCAGCTATGTTCAAATTTTAAATGGGTGTTTGTTGTGAGAAAACAATCACGCAATTTTTCCCTCAAGGACAATGCCATCTCTGTTTGAGATTTGATTTGCAAAGACGCAATGCTTTAAAGTTCTGACACGGCGAGGTGCTGACAGCACTTAAGAGTTGCGACTGATTGCGACTGCTTCCTTTTTTTGATGCTGTCAGTGCTGTGATTAAGATCTCCTGTGAAGCGTTGCGAAGCAAAGCTGGGGTGGTCTCCTGGACCAAGTTGCACATAGTTGCACCACGTGTTACGTAAGTAAGTTGCACGTGGCAGGTTGGTTCTAAGATGATTCAAGTGTTGCAAGGAATGCTGAATCCTGTTTTTTTTTTTGCAAGTCGAACTCCTTGGTTCAATAGACTGAGCAGCTTTAGGCCGAGAAACCGAAACAAGAATAGTGAATAGTCGTGTTTGGACTCAGTTGGCAAAACAGTTTGTGGAGCACATTAGAACAACACCCTACCCGCATAACCCACAACCCACTCACAGCTACTTGGCCCTCTTGAAAACTTGGACCTCTTTGATTTGAGAATACATTATAATACATTGAATGCATGGGCCATGGGCAGTTTATTGGATGAGAAAACAACATGGGAAGAATTTGGCGGAGGCCTCAGACGCGATCTGTGAGATCTGTGAGATCTGTGAGATCAAGGCTGTCAAAGGAGTTGAAGTCGCTGTCCGCCTCGAGGCAAACAGCATTTGGACAGACGCCTCACCAAGGACGCCAAAGGGCTAGTAGCGGCTACTGGAATTCTCATAGATTGTAGATATTTGTAGACATTTGAAATGATATTTGTATATATTTGTAGATCTTGGCAGCGAATGGTGAGCTGAAATTCACATGTGTTTCCCTTAAACGTGTCTTTTGTTCAACAAATCATCACACATTTGTTTTTGCATAGGCTAGCACCTGTTGGTAGGATCTGTGGCTTGGCTTGGGCATCTGTTTGGGCTCGTACCCTTGTAACTTTCTGACGATGACTTTTGGGATAAAAAGTTACAAAAGGGTACTACTGTAGTAACTGTAGTACTACTTTGTTCAATTTTCGTCTTCCAGATCTTCCAGATCTACTAGGCATGTTTTGCCAGAGGGCATCCCAGTATGGCTTCAAGCTGCTTCTGAAATGTCAGGCGTTGACTGACACCTTAAGCCTGGCACGCCCAACGTTACTGTCTCAGCTTGGTACGGAATGACAGGTGGCAAGGGAGATTCTTGGCACCTCTTGTGGTTCCTAGAGTGGCGTTTTCTTAGCTAATGCCTCTTAAAACAAACCCTATACATTTCGTCTGGCATGTCATCAGCTTACTGTTGACAGCAGTGCTTGGCGAGTGCCAAGGTTGGTGCAATCCCGTGGAATTCCCGTTGCATTGGAGGGCAAGGCATGATGGGACTCAGCTGCAGGGGTGTTGATTTGAAGGTCTCCTGACTTGTGCGTTTGCTTGAGAACTGCCTGTTTGACCCAGTTGACCTATGTTCATCCTTGTTGACCCACTTGGCAGATCTTGGTAGTGACTGGTAGTGTTTCACTGGCCTTGAAGCTTTTGGATCAGGTCCTGATCAGGTCATGACCATGCGTCTATGGAGAGCAATTCTCTCAGTGCACCCCAACATGGGGAACATGTGAGGAGTTCATCATTGAAGCGACCTCAAAGGCTTAGGACAACAGTCACCCGGGCACTCTCCAATGATTTGAGGACATCTGAAGGAACATCTGAGAATCCTCAGGTCGATGATCTGCTTGATCTGGGTGACAGCGCCTCATCCTTTACTTTTGCAGGTGCTGTCGCGGCTGGGCGGTTGCAAGCCAGGAGAAAGGCGGCAAGATCTGGATCCTCATTGATTCGCTTGGGTTCAGCCTCAGTCAACCTGGATGATGAGAATGGCGGTTTAACTACCCCATCTGCGAGTTTGACTCCAAATCTTTCTCCAAGAGTATCCGTATCCCAAGATCCACCAGCTTTGACAAAGAGCCCCACAGGCAGCGGTTCCAATCGATCTTTTCGATTTGGAGCTCGAAGGTCCCAGACGATGCTAATGGGAGCTCTGGGGGATCAGGAAGCAGAGGCAAGTACAGGAAGAAATCGTTTGATGATGTTGACATCTGCGGTGACAACACTTCAGTCTATGGTGAAGGATAAAAGTGAAGACGTTGTTGTTGGGGATCCAAACGAAGTGATCCTGGATTCCGATGATAGTGACGATGAGGAGAACGAAGAAATAGAACGAGATTTTGTATCAGCTCTGCAACGAGTGCAGGATAGTGGCCGCCTATCCCTTCATGAATTGAGAGTCTTTGAAAAAGAATTGAAGCAGTCTGCCCCCAAGCTTTTCGACAACGAATCCGACATTGCTATTCTTGCTGGCCTTGAGGATGCAAAATATATCGAAGCAAAGGCTGATGAGATCCTGTGGAGCAGATATTCCGAGCTGTATTCAGGTATTCTCTCTGTTGAGAGTCCAATCTGCATTGTTATAAATGGCCGGGTAAGCATCGCAAAGCCAGGTATCCCAGAAGGGGTGAAGATGCTGAAAGGAAGTGTGATTAACGCAGCTGATCCAGATGTGTTGGGCATCGTTGCTCTGGAGCCTTGCAAGTTGCTTTATGTCGATTCTTCACAGGTGGAAGCGGATATGGAGCATGCCAAATCGGCTTGGAGAAAGGTGGATTACAATCTACGCAAGAAGCGCCCTACTAGCACCTGGCCTGACGATCTCCTGGACGATCTCCGGTTTTGTCTTCACCATCTGCCCTTCTTTGAGAATTTCGATCTGAGAACTTTGCGGTCCATCCTCCGCAACCTGCGCTTCCAGTGTTTGCCAAAAGGTGAGAGCTTGCCACCGCGCCCAGAGATCTGCACCGGCAACAACACAAATCCCACAAGTAGCAGTAACAGCCGACCTGATCGACCTGATCGACCGGATCGACCGGATCGACCCGAGTGTCACCTAGTAATGCTGTGGGAAGGAAAAGCCGGGAAGTACAAACGAGTGCAGTCAGCAGATGAGCAAATGATTTGTACTCAAATGGAGATGATGATGGCTTTGGAGGGCTTGGGACGCAAACCCTCCCCAAAGGCCGTTGCATCCCAAAGAGAAGACATGCCCGAGTTGGATGAGACCGAAGTGACCGAAGCCTTGAAGCTAGATGGCAAGGTCTATATCAAACGCTACGGCAATCTCCGGCTTGGAGCTGTGCTTGGGGAGCGTGACTTGATCGACCCTGGAGGACCAGACACTGGGCAGCCGATCGTTCGTTGCGAAGGCCCCTGCTATGTCTTGAGCCTTGCGAGGGCAGATTACTTGCATTGCCTCAAGGAATGGGTGAGAATTCTTCGGGGCGTGACGTAAAATCAGTAGTTTTTGAGGTTTAGGAGTGTTTTCTGAGTCATTTTGTAACCTTTTGGTCTGCAATTGTGAGGGTCTTGGCTTCCTGTTTGCACCATGGGCCCATAAAATGTCCTCTATCCATCCCTGATAATTACAGATGTAATTAATTATATGTCATAAGATAAATCATTATAGAATCTATTATCATTTTATATCCAATAATTCAATATATCTACATCATAGAACATGCAATGCAATGATGAAGATTCATTTATGTGTATATGACTGCATATGTCACATAAATATGTTAGACATGAATGTTCATGTTCTTCATGTTCTTCATGTTCTTCATGTTCTTCATGTTCTTCATGTTCTTCATGTTCTTCATGTTCTTCATGTTCTTCATGTTCTTCATGTCCATCATATTTCTTCATATTTCTTCATGTTCTACATCCTTTGGGTTCGCAGGAGCAACAGATGGAGCGGATGCGGGTGATCCACGCCCTGCGCAACGTGCCGGCCTCCCGGCCCGGCGAGCCGCACCATCGCTCCCAAGAGCAGCTGGCGCTCTTGGCCAAGCTGGTGAGGACGCTCCCGGTAATGGGGAAATGTTGGGGAGAAAATCTATGATGTAAGCCTGGTAAGTGGTAATGGATGTTGTGTATTGTTATGTGATGTTATAATGGGAATGAGATAATGGATATAGGAAGACTAAGCAACAAAATGGGTAAATCCTTTACCCAACCATGTTATGGGGATATATTGGCATGAGGGATATAACATGATATAACCAACTTAAATTTGGGTGTGTCTGAAAAGATCCAATACATTTCACCAGGCTTGCGATTTGGGGGTATTTAATCTTCGAGGGACCGGATTCCATTCACATGGGATTCACATAGATGTAGATTTGACGGATATGAGAGATATCAGTTAGTGTAAACATGGCAAAGCATTGCTGGAACATATGGGATTCAGAGAGGATTTTTATGGCTTTTGCCAAGAAGCCATCCAGATTTCCCCATTGCCATGTTTGTTGCCAGATCCATGTTTGTTCCATTGGTGCCGAATGATCAATATGAAAGTATGCATCAATGTTTTCAATTCGTCCAAGAAATGCTTTGGCAACCCCTAGATGATCAGAAACCAGATAAGGAAACTCTGATGTTTCTGGAACCCAAGGTGCCGAAGGTCAAGTTCATTTCAGGCTCTTTGAGGCACCCAGATTCGCCAGGAACACTCCAGAGCTGAAAAACTTCGACCAGGATGCCTTGATGCAGGTGTTGGGTGCTGCGACCTTCATCAATGCTGCGCCCGGCCACATCTTGTGCCATCAGGGTGAGGTGGGCGACCGATTCTTTGCGATCATCGAGGGCATGGTCAGCATTCACGTTCGACCTAAGATTGAAATCGAATCTGCCTTAGCAACTGCTGCAGAGTCCAAGGGCAGTGGAAGCCAATTGATCAAGACCATGTTGGCCGCACTCTCCCAGCACAGGGTGGAGGTGGGGGCGGGTGGGGGCGGGAGCCTGCAAGTCCGACACCATCATCGCAGACAAAATATGGGCACAACCAAAACAAAGTGTGATAGATATGGATCCCCGATGATCCATGTGTCAAAATTTGTGAAATCTTGACTGCAGTCTTACACAGACACCTCAGTCACCTATATCAGAACATTTGGTCTATGTCACCTGCGGTAAGACGCCAGGAACATGAGAAATCTTGATGTTGTTGGAAAAATCAGTTGGATGATGTCGAGTATGAGGGCCCAAAAAAGAGATAAAAGCTAATGCACAGTAAATTCCTTCCATTTACTATTTGATATACAATTCTACATTCTTGAGAGCCCCCAAATATATACAGATTATATACAGACTATGAATACATGATTGCTAGATTGTCAGTTCTCCAAGCCCTAAGCTCCCAGAGTTTGTCACAGGAAGCCAAGAAGGAACAGGAAGCCAAGAAGGAGAAGCTGGCAGCACCAGCTCCAACTGCTTTAGGTGCTCCAACTGCTCCACTTCAAAGATCTCCTTCCGAGCGCTCCGACGTTTCTGATGTTTCCCGAAGTCAGAGCTTCGCTTCTGATGCGGGGAGTGCCTCGATCCGCTTAGCCTCACCCAGTTCGTCGTTCCGGCGAGGAGCAACAAGTCGCAAGAATATTGGCAAGGTGTGCTTCACAGCTGCGGAAACGCCGGAAATGCCAGAGATCCCGAGGCTGGAAACGCCGACTCATCAGATTGTGATCGAAGCCCCAGCCCCAGCACTGGAGAAAGAGGAAAGCTTGCAGCTTTCTCCCTTCCGACAAGAGTCCCAAGAGGCAGATGGAGAGACCAACAACAAAGAGGCACAGAGTCCAGAAAGCCCAGAAAGCCCAGAGAGTCCAGCAAGGTCTCCATCTTCTGGGTCCAAAACGCTGAGACGAAAAAGTCTGAAGGATCGCCTGAGAGCTGGCCTCTTTTGGTCTGGGATCAAAAAACGTCTTTCCTCCGCTGCTCCTGTCGCGAAAGACCTGGGCAAAATGGTGAACCGCATGGGGCCAGGAGCTGCCTTTGGAGCCAAGACGTTGCTGAAAAAAGATGCCCGGACTGCCTCCGTGCAGACTGTGGAGCCGACCAAATTGCTGGTGGTGACCCGGGAGGACTATGTAGGGCTCATGAGTTCCATGGAAGAGGCACGGGCACGTGAAGCTGCTGAGTTTCTGTGTCGCCATGTGCTAATGGTGGAAGTTCGTTCCAGTAGCAATCGAGCCCTGGACAATTTGCATCCGGCACTTCGGCAGCGCATGGCACGGACTTCCAAGGCAATGACAAATCACACACTGGATCGTGGGATGGTGCTCTTGACTCATGACACTGATACATCTGACACGGTTCACATCCTTCGCAAAGGTTCCTGGGCGTTTTGCTATCCAAATGAGCAACAAGGGTGTCCCAGCCGGTGGCATCGCAGCCAAGTGGCTTCCATGAATGCATCTCAAGTGGTTAGCACTCCTGGAGAACTGGTGGGCGCTCACAAAGCCTTGCTGCATTGCAAGGAGCCTGCCACAGTGCGAGTGGAAAGTGCTAGTTGCGAGGTTTATCGAGTACCGTGGACGGAACTCCAGCGGGTTCTCACAAGTCGTGTGCTGTCTATGATCAAGGACAAATTGAGACGTTGCCATGACTTGCGTTCTGGAGTGGCAGCAACCCGGAGCCCAAAGGACATGCTCAGTCTTGCAGTAAGTTCCAGCATTGTCGGTGCCGTGCCAAGCAGAGAGCAGCAGGTTGGGGGAGTTGGCCAGTTGGGGGGTAGAAATGTTAATTTCCGCGTTCAACTTGTTTAACTTGTCGCTTTTGCCGAACGCTTTGCCATTCCCGGTCCAGGCAGTGAAGGATGCTCTGGAAAACGCTTTCAGCACGGCGTGCTCCTTTGCGACTGCAGGAGGTGGCGGCGGCATCGGTGCAAGTTACATCGAAGCCATGAAGTCCCGTCCCAAGCGCCCGCTCTCGCATCGACAAGCGCGCCCTGCGCTCCCTGCGCCACGATCTAAACCGAAGGATCAGAGCCATCATAGCCATCAGAGTCCACGCGCCTTGGCAGTGGAACGAGAGGCCAAGGAGGCCAAGGAGGCCAAGGCCAGAGAGGCTAAGGCCTTCGTGGAGAACTTGGCGAAGGCCGTTGCGAAGTTGAAAGAAACGACGCAACGAGCTGATCTCTGGGAGTCCTTACGGACTGGCGAAGCAGATGCGTTCCACGCAGCTCCCAGTCTTCCACCACCCATTACGAGTGATGCTCATGTCCGAGCACGTTTCTTCAAGGTGCTGAAAGATGACCCGGGCTTGCTGGGCATGGAGAAATTCCTCAGTGATTGTGTTCTGGATCCGGACAAAGCCAACCTTAATGCTTGGATCAAGAAGTACACCAGCAGTGAGAAGCTGCGGAAGCATTCCGAGCTGCAGTCATTGCAAATGATCCTGCGCAAGCAGGTCAAAAATCCGACATAGCTCGCACGCAGCCCAACGTGACAAGCACAATTGGAATGCCGCGAGATTGAATTCTTGACTCGTTTTCAACATGTTTTCAATCAAATTTAGCAGTTTCACAACCAGTCTCACACTCAAGGTGTGGAGAAAATGCGTAGCTTTCAAAGATCATGGCCCTTGCTCTTATTTGCATCCTTACGTTCCACGCATGTGCTTTGCAGAGAGGCGCAACATTCCGAGTCAAGACCTTCGACTCTACTATACAGAAGTCTTACGCATGAGAAGCTTGGAACCTCCTGGTAGGACGTCCTATGTCGAGCTCGAACCGGCAGCGGCAAGACTCTGTGCTATGTCGTGCCACTGGTTTGGCGCTCAATATTTGCACGAAGCCTTTGCGTTTTGTTGTGAATCCCAAGTTTGCCACGCGATTTCTATTTAGCCACCACCAAGGTTCAGCGTTTGCTAGGAATGGAGGCCAAAGGTGGGAACAGTTTGTCACCTGTCGCCGTTATCCATTGAGTATATTGAGTCCACGGGGACTGCTTACCCAGAGTGGCCAGGTTTAGCGCCTCTGAGTGGTCTCATCTTGGTCCCAACCAAGGACCCACAAAGACCAAAGTGTCACAAAGTGTCACGAAGTGTCACGAAGTGTCAGAGCCGCATTTTTCAAGTCATTTTGTTTGACGGTTCCCTATTGAAAGTATCCCCTTTGAATGAGAAACCAGTCGGCTTGATTAGTATGCAGTGAGCCTGTACTACACCGCTGACCCATGCTGTGCCAGGAACTCATTGCTCAAGTGCACGGTGTTATGACATCTTTGCCCGCCTGGCTTGTGATGATCACGACAGCGCGTGCATTGAGAGTAGCCAGCAGAAATTTGGCAAACTGATGCTGATTCGGCAGCTGTGCAAGCTTGCTCAGCTTACTGATCACAGCTTGAATTTTCACCGAATTCAATGCAGTCTCAGTGACTCGAATTTTCAGGCTTGCTTTTTGTTTTGATGTGATCACAGTCGACACCCTGCTCTCTGGTGCCCGGAACTCATTGACTTCACACTTCCGAGCACGTTGAGCTTCGACTGGCTTCGACTGGCTTCGACTGCAAAGCGGAATGTACTTCGAATGTACCGAAACTCAGATAACTCAGGAGAAGTACACCAAAGCTGAACTTCCAGTGGTGTGTTGCTGGCCAGTCAGAACCCAACGAGAACGAGCACCATGGCCTTGTGGTGCCAGGTTGGTGACCACCCCATCATCACTCCTGGCCCTGGTGAAGCAACGTCAGGCACTGCATGGAGCTGTTTCTGTCTAGTTGCCTTTAAAAGGCAGCCATCAACGTCAACCAAAATATATGTTAAAATAAGATATCACTACTCATTGGTATGTTTTGCATTGATTTTGTTGCTTAATCACATTCTCTGGTTGATATGGCATGGTTGTGTGGTGGGTATGATTCTCGGCATTACAACTCAACTGAAGGCCAAAGGCACAATGAGACCTCTGGCGGAGCAGATCTGGCATGGTTGATGAGGGCTGTCACAGCTTGGGATTTCCTCCATACTTTTTGAGATCTCGCTGTGTGCTGCATAGCTGGCATAGCTGGTAGCAGTCTGGTTCTTGTCCTGGCAGAACCTTAAAAATCCTGGTCCTGGATGAAGCAGATTTGATGTTTTCCTTCGGCTACGAGGAGGATGTCGCAGCCTTAGTGGGGCTGGACGCGGCACGTTACGGACTGTGCCTGGAGCTGAGGTAAAGGCGCTGTGTGCCCTGATGCCGCCGAAGTACCAGGCTTTTGAAAGAGGAAATGCTATGGAAATGGTATGGAAATGGTATGGGGCAGTACCTGTACTTCAAAAGTAGCAGAAAATGGTATGGTATGGATCAGTTCAACCTGATACGCCTCTGAACATTAAGGTTGCCAAAATAAATATGAAGGGGTTTGCCAACCAAGGATGGTCCGCATAAGTGCTGATCGCTCGAAATATTTCATCACTTTGAATATTTTCGTCATTGCGTAGCATTCCTCATGCAACACTCATCCAGAGATGCGGACAGGCCATGTTGGTCTCTGCCACGTTGTCAGAAGAGGTCGAGCAGCTCAAGGCCATTTTCTGAGACCAAATTCAGTCAATTTATGGAAGATCAAGGCTGATAGATGCTGATAGCGGATAGCAGTCGCCTGCCCGTCCACTGCCATCACAGGGTCTGATGCTGCATAAGCCCGTGGTGCTGAAGTTGGAGGAGCCTCGTGTGACAGGAAAACTGTCGCAGCCTTGCAGCCTTGTTTGTGAGCTGAACCGCCTTGGCCACATCGTTTTCTACGGATCCGGAAACCACCAGAAACTGACTAAGTCCCCAGATAGCTAGAGCATGCTGTAGAGCATGCTGTAGAGCATGCTGTAGCACGCCACCTTGTGACCATGTGATCTTTGAGCCAAAATCCAAGATAAGACTCAAATGCAAGTCTCCATGCTCTTGATCCACACATGGTGACATGGTGACATGGCAGGTTCTATTTCATTTGCCACAAGACTGACAAGTACCTCATTCTCTACACGCTATTGCTTGCCTGGCATGCATTGAAGATTTCAGAAGCACCAGGAAGTTGCCAACTCATCCTGTCGCTCAGGAAGCTTCAGCTGATTCAGGGTAAGACGTTTTGGACTTATTAGTCTGAGTGCTTGTAGGTAGACACTGCAGAAGGGAATGTCCAACTGTGAGACTTGAACTCCCACTGGTTTCTCTGGAAAGGAAGTCTTAGGCTCATCTTTGTGAAAAGCATTGATGGCGCATACCGCTTGAAGATCCTGCCACTAGCTCAGAGACCTCTCCGCGGTTGGCTTTGCCGGCTGCCCCTTAAATACAGAAAGTGACTTGTTGGAACATACCAATGCAGATGCCTCAGATTTTTCAGGCTGGAGCGTTTCAGCATCAATGCAGTCGTCCTCAATTCGGAACTGCCGCATGCCAGTCGCACGCCACCCAGGGGTCTGGAGATGCCAAGAATGCTTAGGAGCAAACAAAATGCGATGCATCACAAAACCTGAACACTCTGATCCATCTGATATGACCACGTGCCACAACGTTGTCTCTTCAAGAGGATTTCATTTTGGATCCTGGTCCGTGTTGTCTTTCCAGAACTTTAGTGGCAAGGACAAAACATCCTTGACACCTTTAACCAGGGCTTGGTGGAGCTGCTCATCGTAAGGGATTCCCAGACGTGGAAATGCTGCACAAAGTGGGCACGACACCCTTGAAGTCTTCACAAGGTTTTGCGAATCGTCCATACCAATATGGAAGGTTTGTTCACTAGGCTATGCTAAGACATGACGGGTCCTTTGGTTACCTTGGCATAGATCCTCTTTTTCAGGCAACCGATGAAGGACTTGGAGTTGCAGATGACGAGGTGCAGATGACAAGATGTTGGTCTGTGGGTATGGCGACAGGATAACTGGTTGAAACATTTGATGCTGGTCGCAGCTCGGTTTTGTGCCAAGGCAGAGGAGGATGAGGCCATTTCTGCGTTCGACTAGTAAGTTGTGAGTTTCAGACTTTCCTGGTTGAGCTGAACCGAGCTGAACCCGTGGCCAGGACGACTTCGAGGAAGGAGAAGAGGAAGAGATGGAAGATGATGATGACGAGGAGACCTCATGACATCGTGTCCTAAATCATAGGATCATATCAAAATATATCAAAATCACATGAGTCATATGAGTCATATGAGATCACATCAACATACATCAACAATAGTCAGATCACATCAGCAAAAGTGGCAAGTTTTCCAGGAGATGGCCGAATCTCAGGTGGGCCTCAGCGAATGGGACCATGGTGAAACATGGTGAAACCGTGAAACCAAGGTGACGAATTGGACGAATTGGACGAATTGGACGGTGACGGTGAAGACTGGTATGACAAATTTGGAGCAAATCCTGAATGAAGGATCATTTGAAGAACCTAAAATATCCTAAAATGCTGAAAATGAAGCGGATGTTGTCTAAGTCCAAGAGTTTTCATACAAAAAGTATAGTGCCAGTCGTGCACACGGTAAAGGACTGTGAGAGTCCAAAGCCATACCCATTGTACATCAAGATACATCAAGTCATATTCTTCCGAGGCAGCTGGTCCACGCAGGTGCGATGTAGAGTTGGCTCAGAACGGCAGTTCACGTGCAGCTCATGTGCAGCTCATGCGTATCTATTTGCTCAAGCAAAACCAGTGATGAAATGTGAAACATCTGAAGTGTGAAACATGCTCTGAAAGAAGGCATGAAAAAAGATGTGTGAAGATGTGTGATGTGTTAGCTATGAACAGTTTTGAAATGAAGCTCTCCCGCTCAGTCAATCGAACAGTTCCGGAGGTCTGCCTTGAGGAACAAGGCCACCTCGGCATTGGATGCAAAAGTCAAGAAAGGTAAGGGGGTGAAGGAGGTGAAGGCAGCCGACGCCGAACAGGAAGAAGACAAGGAAGACGAGGAAGACGAGGAAGACGAAGAGGAAGGTGAAGAGGAAGGTGAAGAGGAAGGAGAAGAGGAAGGAGAAGAGGAAGGAGAAGAGGAAGGAGAAGAAGAGGAGAGTGCACCCTGTGGCCAAGTTTTATGCCTTTTTGATCGTTTTCCGTGCCATTTGCATTTTAGAGATGCGTTTTGCATTGTTTTGCCGTTTGCAACTGCAGGACATCGAAGAAGCTGCTCCAGTTCCGGTGAGCCTGGCAAGCTCTGACAGCAAGACGGTTGAGTTCTTTTGATGTGGATCTGCAGACTTTTTGTGCCACTAGTGACTTAGTGGGCCTTCAGGTGAAAAAAGTCAAGGAAGAGAAGCAGCAGAAGGGCCGCAAAGTCAAGGCACCCAAGCATAAAGTCGAAGACATACTTCTGATGTATTTGAACCAAGCTGATTCTGAAGGAATTTGGTAGCTATTTTATGCCATTTTCTGCCATTTTGACTGTTAATCTCTCTAGAGTGCGTTGGTGCTTTCCATGAGGATCAGCAGTACTCCCTCACCAGGGGAGTAGACTTGCACGGTGCCGGAGGCTGAATGCGGACAGCGCTCCATTTTGTCGAAAGCTCCTGTCAATGAACAGACAAAATGCATCTTTGATCATCTTTATACCTAGGTCAGCACTGTGCTCAATGCGGATGTGCCAGAAAGTGTTCGCGATTATGTGGGGAGCTGAAACTGACATTGACAACCCACAAAAAGACTGAAAAAGGCCTGAACTTTTCTGTTGTGACCCGTTGTGACCCGTTTCATGCCTCTGTCCTCCTCATTGGATCCTAAGGTGCATCGAGTTGGACGCTGTGCCCGCGGCGGTGCCAGTGGGACGGCGTGCAAGCCTCAGCCATAGGACAGGCTTAACATGGTCAAACAGATCAACCCCAAACGGCGCAGATACCGAACTCATCTCCAAGTTGCACCAATGGTCACTTCATGCTATTTCTATCTATTTCTTGTGGTTAAAACCCATGATTTGGTGTATCTTTGGAACACAAGAAATTGCATTACTTGCGATTGGATGTTTGGGAGCCGATGAAATGCACATACGCACGCTTGCACAAAGAATTTCTGCTGGTTCAAGGCTGACTCTTTGTACATATGAGGAAGAGCCGTGGCCCGAGATTGTTTGTTTGTGTCTCCTTTTCATACTCTGAATAGATTTGAAAAAGCTTCAGATTTCCCATGGATGAATGTGGAGTCAATCATAACTGCAATGAGGCCGCAGCTTCAGAAGATCATTCGGGCACAGAGTGCCGCAGGCCTCCTGAGCAGTTTGCCGTGGATGGCTCCAGATTTGGAATCTGTAAAATTTGCCAAGAGGATAGTCTAATTATGTCTAATTATAGATGTCTAAGTCTGTTTGATCAGTTGGTGGATTCGACACATATTTATAGAACATCACATGGCACACATGCAAAGTTCCGCTGGTATTGAGAACGACTTTCATCATCTTTGATCTATATAAATCTGTATACAGCTTTGGCCACTTGTTGGCCTCGTGTCGTGACCGTTGAATTTCTTGAGGTGGCACTGGGCCTCTTCAACCTCTGCCAATGCAGATCTCGGATGCGGAGCGCTTTCGTGGACTCGTCCTGCTTTGAAAAGAATGTCAGAGAGGACAAATTCAAGTGATCTTTTACTTGGTTTGACAAAAATGAAGTGACATAAATTCACATACACAGCATGTGTTCTTGAAACTTTTTTTTTTTCTGGTAGCGACATGAGCAATTATATAGATGTGTTTGCGCTATTTGTCAGTATGCGTATGTCACAGTATGTGCATCAGCACTTTACATTTTCATGCACAATGTGTGCGACTCATGCGTATCTCCGGGCAAGCGGCAAGAAGATACAAGAAGATACAAGAAGATACAAGAAGATACAATAAGATACAAGAAGTATATAGCAGAATGAAGCAGAGTTGCAAGTGTTGCAAGTGTTGCAAGTGTTGCAAGTGCTGTGGCCAGGCTATCGAGTTGAAGACATGGCCTGGGCCATCCAGAAACGTGTTGTGATAGGACCCGGGTGACCTTTAGTGCCTTGGTGGACGCTCGCGTTTCCAGGCCAGGGGTCTGACCAAGAAGGTCTTGGCCAAATACCGAGCACGGGAGCTTCAGCTGGAGGCCGAAGCTGAGTCAACGTTTCAACATGTTGCGAACATGTTTCAAAAAAACAGTTCCCGCAGTCGAAAAAGGAGAGGTGTTCTGAATTCCTCAGAATTCTTTTTCTGGCCTTTGGGCGAAAGATCCCAGGCGCTGCACTCTGACAAGTTGAAAGCTTACTTTGACGACCACCCCGATGACAAGCTGGCTTTGCAGAGGACTGGTTGGCCGTAAACGCCTCCCCAACTTCAAGAAACATGATGATTTGATGTGCTTATCATTGGACTTATCATTTCGCTGTTTTGATGTTCATGGTCCAATGGTGTATTGCCTTCTCATCTTATTCCAAGCTGGGCAGGATGCAGAGGCAGCTTCGGGAGAAGAAAACAGTCAGGGCACATTTGAAAAGCGTCATGGCCCAAGACCATCTTGCCATCTTTGCCGAATCTTTGCCGAATCTTTGCCCTTCAAAAGGAATCCAACATCCATGGATCTCCCATGGATCTCCCATGGATCTCCCATGGATCTCCCATGGATCTCCCATGGATCTCCCAATATTTTCAGCTGGAGATCCGTGGAATCGTGGATCGATCCACATGTGAAAGCTCGAGGTGCCATCGTACCTGGTGCCAGAAGACTTCACAAGAGCCACTCCCGTGCGAAGCTTTGAATCTTCATACAGTTGACTGTATACTTCGATTTCAGGTACGAAGTGGCTTTGATATGCTTTGATAACCTCTTGGATTGAATGAATTGAATGAATTGAATGAATTGAAGGACTCATTTTGGGATTTCAATGATTTTCAGATCATTCTATCCTGATTCCTGGCCTACTCAGGTGCAGAAGGCAGTACGCAGCGCCAACAAGGCCAGTGGGAAGATCTCTGTCAACCTGAAACGGCTGGCACCTGAAGCGGTAGCATCTGCACCCCTATGGCATCATATCATCATATCATCGCCACATCATGTGAAATGCCCGCTCTGCTGAGGAAACGGGCATTCAAGGCGCGGCAGCAGGATCCCTTGACCAGAGAGATTGGGGGCACAGAACGGCGCCGTCGGGAGCTCAGAGCCGAGAGGATCCCAACTTTTTCTACGCACAGCATGTAACATCATGTAACTTCATGTAACATCATGTAACATAGTGACCATATGATCCATGTGTCTAATATGCAACATTATGTGACCACATGTGACCACTTCAATCCGACTGTACAGACTGTACATGAAGTGGACGAGGTGATCGATTTACCCGAGAAAAAGCAATTGCTCGGCCCCCTGCGGAGATACGCTCAAGATGGCCGCCATGATGGCCGCCATGATGGCCATGATGGCCTGAGCGTTCCGTGATGTTCCGTGTTTTGTGCTCGGTCCATCTTAGTTTCTTAGGCGAAAGATAGAAAGATCGATCCAACCACGGCCAACGTGGAGGCAGTCAGAATCTCCAAACATGACTTGAGCATATTTGAGCTTTGTCGTGCTTTGTTTTCTTTGGTCAGTTTTGCATTTGTGAGCAACTCTAAAGGCATTGCCCGCACTTTCGCGTCACAAGCTTTGGAAGTACAGCCCCAAGTATTGTGGACGATTCCGGATGACACCGAAATCATCCGAAATAGATAAAGATCGATACAGTAAAAGAGTAGCACTTCGGAAGTGTCTCCTGAGGCTCCAACATGGCAAAAGGGTGCGAAAGACGACAGATGTCCTCGGTGAACGTCGTCGGCTTCCTTTTGGCCAGAAAAAGCGCCAGAAGAAGTGCGCGGCCAAGCAATCTGCAGCCAGCAATTTATACAGTCTATGACAGAGAAGTGTAGACTGATGTTCAGCAGAGCAAGACATCTACATTCTACATCTTTCAGCCTCATGAAAACACGTCGAGCGTGCAACTGTATGGATTTCCCAGTCTCTACATTCTGGTTGTCACTTCTAACCCTCCATGGTTTTTCGACAGGTTTGCTACCGATCGATAGCTTTGAATCAGGTGCGGATGCGTATCAGGGTCCAAGTGGATTTGCAGCAATGCACAGTTTGATGCTGCTCAGTCTTCTAGGTAGCACCTAGACGTGTTGACCCAAGTGAGTGTTCCCCCATACTCAAAGTGACCATCAAATAGGTGGCTCTTGGGTCCCAAAAGAAACGGAAAGGAAAACAGATTTTGCCTGGACATTCCTGTACCCTTTCAAGCAACAAAGCTCACACTGCATTCGCAGGAGGCGCATGGTCTGGGCAAATACATATCGTTGGAACTTGAAGAGTCCAAAGTCATGTACATAAGACCCGCATGCCCTGCTGGTTTGATCTGCTTTGACTCGTTGAGCGCGAGGAAAAGAGTGACTTGAGTGGTTGCATGTGTTGCATGTGGTTGGCAGATTTTCTTTCTGTACCTCTTAAGTATTCTTAAGACAAAAAAGCTGCTGGTCTGAGCTGGTCATCACCGATGTGCGTGGCTGCCACCTCTTGGCTGCAGCTGCTGGTTCGTGGACTCCCGGCAACCAGGTGACACGGGCTAGTGCCTCGCATGCAGATTTCGATTCATTGGGCTGATCAGCTGATCAAAGATGAATCTCTTCATATCTCTTCGGAAGGGCATTGGTCAGGATGACGGTACTTTTGACAGCTTTGGAGGGTACCTTCCCACTCTTGGGATTTGGAGCACCCAGTTTTGGGAACCTGTCTCTGGGATGACACGGTATCACTAGAGGTGTGTGTGTACCCCATGCGTCACTCTCCACTAAGGACAGCATGCAACCAAGGCTTGGGCCGAAAAATGGACTCTCAGGTGCCCTCCGTGTCCTCAGCTTTGCGTGCCCTGTAGGTCCAGATCGGAGCGCCATGCGCTCAAAACCAAAGATGATTTAGAGAAGGAGACGCCATGGCTTTTTTTGAGCCTCTCCCAGGGCTCTATCTATTCTATTTGTTGGTATCTAGATTATCAGATTATTTATATACGGGAGGGGACTGTTGTGAGCGGCAGAAAATTTGCTTAAACTCATGGCTTTTTTTTTGAAATCCTTCTGATCCAGATATGAACAGGTTGCACTTTAAGTACATACTTGTATCTGTCACCCAACTATGTGCTACTTTTCACCCAACTATGTGCTCAAAATTGCCATAAAACAAGAAAGGCAGGTTTTTATTCAGAAATTATTGGACATCTAGTTCCATGCAATTCCCATGCACAATCTTATTAATACTATATTTCTTGTTTATGAGTCTCCTTGTGAAATATGTTGTTCTTATTGAATGCAGTTCAGTAAATACATCAGAGTCCAAGAGCCATAAATGATCATAAATTTAAATACACACAATTCAGGAATAAGCATATTGAAACAGAAACATATGTGCATCTTATATAATATCCTTGAAATAGTTTCATGAATCCTTCCAGTATCCCTTGCAATATATATATATATATTTTCTAAAAGATGCAGGGCGTCCCTGAAGATGTACAGCCTTCCATTTAGGGGTAAACATGTTTCTATAATATGTAGCATGAATTTAAGATAGTGCATTCATGTTCTAAACAATGAAGTATCCCCAGCTTATAAAGAAGCATTTTTCGTTGAATTGCATTTTTCCTTTGAAAAAGTACAATGCTTTTTTCAACAAGCAATACCCCTACAATTATGAAGAAATCCTCTAAAATCTAAGAAATGCAGCATTTGTTCTGAAAAAGCGAAATCTTCTTCCACATGATATCCCTTCAAATAGGCAATATTCCTGTGCCATATGTAGCATGCTTTTCGATTTACAACCATCCCTTAATATGCAGAATTCATGTCAAAAGTGCAATACCAAATGCAGCAACGCTATAGTCCTTGAACATCACGTCAAATTACTATGTTGAAGTACCCCACCATAAGACAATATATATATAGTATCCTTTTCAAGAAGCAATGTTCCTGCAAAAGTAAAAATAGTTGTCTTCACACGTGTAGTATTCATGTTGAAAAGGTTTAGTTTTCGTTTGTTGTTCCTTAAGAATCAGGTCTTTCTCTAAAGAAGCTAGTTTCTGTATTTAATATGAAAGAGTTGTGCACTCTTCTTAATCAAGTGATTCCATCATTTACGCACCAAGGGACAACCATATTATTTCAGAAAGAGTGCTGCATGTGTAAAAGGATTACATGTTGGAATAAATTTCCATTGTCTTAAGAGAATATTGCATCTGCCTCAAGGAGCTGATAGTTTTAAAGAAAAACAACACTTTCCACATTTTTTCAAGGAATACATACTCTTTTGATAAAAGGATCACTATAAGCACAAAAGAATTCCATCTTGAAATTTGGAATTATGTTTTGATGTCTGAGGAAATCCTGCACCCTTTTCAAAGAGATGATGCACTTTCTTGAAGGATTATATTCCAGATAGTTATACATGTTATAAACATTCACCTCAAAGAATGCCATGATCACAAAAGAACACCATGGTATATATATAAAGGGCTACGCCCTCTGCCGCCGACCCCTGGACACTGGAGGGTCATATTACCATGGTATATACTAGTAGACGCAAAATATGTGCAAAACCATACTGGGCAGAAACTCCGATAAAGCCTCTGCAGTGATGCGATCTGAAGTGTGAAAGCAATTTTGGACGAAGACAAAGCTGCTTCAACTGCGCGATGTTGTGGACTTTGGCTTATGGGAGTGCAAAGCATCAATGAAAAGATTAAACTGATTCAATGCATTATTCGACATGACAGTCAACATCACAGTTTATCATCTCATATTTTTTGCGCATGTTGGCAGCTGAAACAGTGCATCAACATATGTGAATGACTTCTTCTATCTCCAAGCCTGTAGAGAGATAGAGAGAGACTAGGTTGGCATGGCCCTGTCGCTGACAAAAAAGTACATGTTGTTCGACTTGCAAGGTAGATAGACAGAGAGCCATGCCGCGATCGTGTATTGCATGTGGTGCTGGCGTGGGCGGATCATCGACTGCGATCGCTGGGGCGCCGTGCCTTGGCAGCAGAGGAGGGTCTGTATGGCAGCTGGGGCTGCAAGATGCAGGAAGGGTTAGAGAATGAGGGGAGATGAGGGCCATGTTGGGGAAGGGAATGTAGGAGGGCTGAGCGGCTGCAGGCTGCATGAGTTGGTCACGGCGGAGTTGGTGGAGCTGGGCGGCGAGGAGGTGCACAGACTGTGCCGGAAATGCAACATGGCTGACGGCAGTTGAGCAGGGGCGGTGACGCCAAGGGCGGTTGGGTGTTGACTTTCAATGGGTTGGTGGATTCGTAATGATTCGTACATCGACAGGCCGTACACAGACACACGTACAAGCACACACCCCTATCCTAGTAGGTTTCACCTGGGCGTCGGGGAAAGCATTGTGTTTCGCAATGAAGAATGAAATTTTGTGTGGACCACGGCAATTTGTTGCGAGTGAGAGGTCGGTCCAGGTCGGTCCAGGCCAAAAAATCATTGTAAAGATCGAAGACTGCAGAAGGAGTGAAACAGAAACATGGACCGCAGACCCGTCAGCCATTCATTTTGTTATGGCCATCAAACATATTGACAGAAAAAAAAGGCATTGAGAGGTTTATGTCAAGACTTTGTTAAGGATTTCCGCGCTGTGCGTTTCTGGTGGGGACGTACTGTACACATTTTCGTTGTTTAAGATTCGATCTCGGTGGTTATCTGGGAAAGCAGTCCCCATGTGGTCGGTGTTGCGCACATCCATATTGTTTTGGGTCTTAAATTTAGGTCCCTCATGTGAAGGAGTCTCTGTACCAAAGTCTGATGGCTTCTGTAAGGGTCCCGTTTCCAGACACAACCAAGAAGCAAATCGAGCTGACTGTGTCTCGCACATGGATCCATATTGAGATAAGTTAGAGAGATGAGTGGTGGCCCGGGAGCAGGGAAGCGTGAGGTAAGAAGCTCCCGGAGGTGGCAAAGAACTTGGTGCAAATTCACTCGCGCCCCAATTTGCCATCACAGCGCATGTTGCGCAAGGACAAACCATCAAAGAAGGCGTGATGACCGATCTTTGTATCGGCCCAATGGGCAACCCATTCACGGTTTACGTTGCAATCACCCGTGTCCAAGGCCGTGGGAAGCTGCTGATCTTCCGCCCTTTCGACGCCGCGCCATTCCAAAAGGGAATCGGTTTGGGCCGGGACCTTCTTCTGCGACACCTCCGCGGCGACGCCATCAACTGGCAGGCGTTGCTCGCAAAATATTGCGAAGAACGCGTGTGTTCAATTTGCGCAGAACGAAAACAAAGCACAGCGTTCACACCAGGCCAATGGAAGCGCAGCGACACGGACCGGGTGTGTCGCGAGTGCACAAAACATTATGCAGATGCTGGAACCCCCGTGGCAATGCAACGTGTGCAAGCTGTGGCATGTCGAGGCCAATTTTCCAGAAAAGCACCGCCAACGGCAATGTAGTTTTTTCCGTGTGTGCTTGACGTGTGAAATGAAGAAACCGTGTTTCAAATGTGGCGTTGCGAAACCCGAAGCCGAATTTGGACCGGCCGCATGGAAAGCTCGCAACGCGGACCGCCGCTGCTGCAGAGAATGTACCACCAAACAGCGGGGGTGTTGGCAATGTTCCCAGTGCAGCGAACGCAAGCCACGAGCAGAGTTCACAGCTTGGCAGCAAAGTCGGAAACATACGCAGGATGGTACACAAGTATGCAATGCATGCACAGCCTTTGCCTTCGTGTGTCGTCTTGCTCATCGCACGAATCAACGCTTGGCCCGCTTGCGCCAACGCGAATCCCGTCAACGACACGAAGCAATCCTAGCAGACGTTTGCAAGGAGATTCAGAAAATCCACGAGGCTAGACAAACGTCGATGGGAACAGACGAAACCAGAACGGGTGTTGCCCATTCATCGACCCAGCAGCTTGCTGCGGAGCCCGACACAGCGACGCCGCGGGTGTACACATACCTCTGCCCGCATTGCGCCAAATCTGTGCAAAGCACTGTGGCAACAGGGCAAGTCTATCACCGCCGCGGTGATGGCTGCGGCAAAAAATTTCGCGTTGCGAATGGCCTGCTTGCAGGCCGTACACTTGCGCACACATGTCCAACATGCGGCACAGTGGTGCATTCAACAAAAGCTTCCGGTCAAATTCAAATAACGCATCGCACGCCCAACGGAAAGCAGTGTCGCACCGACCGATGGCCCGTGCAGAACTGATCACAAACGGAGCCTTCACCAAACAACAGAACCCTGCGCGCTCGCCACGCCGAAACAGGAGGGCCCTGAAGGACAGACCGGGCCTGCAGGCCACCGCCCTCAGTGCCTAACGTCGCTTTCTGCACCTACAAGAAAACTAACTCTCTTAGCTGTCTTCCAGCCGCCAAGGCTCAAACACCGCGCGCTCGCCACACCGAAACAGCAGGGCCCTGAGGGACGGACCGGGCCTGCGGGCCACGGCCCCCACTGCCTAACGTTGCTTTCTGAACCTACAAGAAAGCTAGCTGTCTGACCTGTCTTCCAGCCGCCAAAGCTCACACACGGCGCGATTGCCACGCCAAAACAACAGGGTCCTGAGGGACGGACCGGGCCTGCGGGCCACGGCCGCCACGACCTGTCTTCCAGCCGCCAAGGCTCACACAGGGCACGCTCGCCACACCGAAACAGCAGGGCCCTGAGGGATGGACGGGGCCTGCGGGCCACGGCCCCCACTGCCTAACGTTGCTTTCTGAACCTACAAGAAAACTAGCTGTCTGACCTAAAACGGCGCCTCCGCCACAGCCAAACAGCAAGGCCCTGAGGGACGGACCGGGCCTACGGGCCACGGCCCCCAGTGCCGAACGTTGCTTTCTGCACCTACAAGAAAACTAACTCTCTTAGCTGTCTTTCAGCCGCCAAGGCTCAAACACGGCGCGCTCGCCACACCGAAACAGCATGGCCCTGAGGGACGGACAGGGCCTGCGGGCCACGGCCCCCACTGCCTAACGTTGCTTTCTGAACCTACAAGAAAGCTAGCTGTCTGACCTGTCTTCCAGCCGCCAAAGCTCACACACGGCGCGATTGCCACGCCAAAACAGCAGGGTCCTGAGGGACGGACCGGGCGTGCGGGCTACGGCCCCCAGTGCCGAACGTTGCTTTCTGCACCTACAAGAAAACTAACTCTCTTAGCTGTCTTCCAGCCGCCAAGGCTCAAACACGGCGCGCTCGCCACACCGAAACAGCAGGGCCCTGAGGGACGGACCGGGCCTGCGGGCCACGGCCCCTACTGCCTAACGTTGCTTTCTGAACCTACAAGAAAGCTAGCTGTCTGACCTGTCTTCCAGCCGCCAAAGCTCACACACGGCGCGATTGCCACGCCAAAACAACACGGTCCTGAGGGACGGACCGGGCCTGCGGGCCACGGCCGCCACGACCTGTCTTCCAGCCGGCAAGGCTCACACAGGGCGCGCTCGCCACACCGAAACAGCAGGGCCCTGAGGGACGGACGGGGCCTGCGGGCCACGGCCCCCACTGCCTAACGTTGCTTTCTGAACCTACAAGAAAGCAAGCTGCCTGACCTAAAACGGCGCCTCCGCCACAGCCAAACAGCAAGGCCCTGAGGGACGGACCGGGCCTACGGGCCACGGCCCCCAGTGCCGAACGTTGCTTTCTGCACCTACAAGAAAACTAACTCTCTTAGCTGTCTTCCAGCCGCCAAGGCTCAAACACGGCGCGCTCGCCACACCGAAACAGCAGGGCCCTGAGGGACGGACCGGGCCTGCGGGCCACGGCCCCCACTGCCTAACGTTGCTTTCTGAACCTACAAGAAAGCAAGCTGCCTGACCTGTCTTCCAGCCGCCAAAGCTCACACACGGCGCGATTGCCACGCCAAAACAACACGGTCCTGAGGGACGGACCGGGCCTGCGGGCCACGGCCGCCACGACCTGTCTTCCAGCCGGCAAGGCTCACACAGGGCGCGCTCGCCACACCGAAACAGCAGGGCCCTGAGAGACGGACGGGGCCTGCGGGCCACGGCCCCCACTGCCTAACGTTGCTTTCTGAACCTACAAGAAAAGTAGCTGTCTGACCTAAAACGGCGCCTCCGCCACAGCCAAACAGCAGGGCCCTGAAGGACGGACCGGGCGTGCGGGCCACGGCCGCCACGACCTAGTCTTCCAGCCGCCAAGGCTCACACAGGGCGCGCTCGCCACACCGAAACAGCAGGGCCCCGAGGGACGGCACGGCCCCCACTGCCTAACGTTGCTTTCTGAACCTACAAGAAAAGTAACTGTCTGACCTAAAACGGCGCCTCCGCCACAGCCAAACAGCAGGGCCCTGAAGGACGGACCGGGCGTGCGGGCCACGGCCGCCACGACCTGTCTTCCAGCCGCCAAGGCTCACACAGGGCAGGGCCCTGAGGGACGGACGGGGCCTGCGGGCCACGGCCCCCACTGCCTAACGTTGCTTTTTGAACCTACAAGAAAAGTAGCTGTCTGACCTAAAACGGCGCCTCCGCCACAGCCAAACAGCAAGGCCCTGAGGGACGGACCGGGCCTACGGGCCACGGCCCCCAGTGCCTAACATTGCTTTCTGAACCTACAAGAAAATTAGCTGTCTGACCTAAAACGGCGCCTCCGCCACAGCCAAACAGCAAGGCCCTGAGGGACGGACCGGGCCTACGGGCCACGGCCCCCAGTGCCTAACGTTGCTTTCTGAATTTACAAGAAAACTAGCTAGCTGTCTGACCTAAAACGGCGCCTCCGCCACAGCCAAACAGCAGGGCCTGAGGACCGCGCCTGCGAATTTTCTCTTTTCGCCCCTTGTTGCTAGTAAGGCCTCCTCTGACGCGCTCCCCCTGCTGGCGGCAGGGGTCGGCGGATATATATATGTGCATTTATATATATATATATATATGTGGACCTTCGTTTGAAATGGTGTTGGAATCTGTTAACAGAAGGCGCCCGCATTGAAGGTCTATTTCAGACCATTACCGCACTCTGTTCAAAGATATTACAATCTTTCAAAGGGAATGCACAAAGTCAGGCCACACTTTCTGTAAGGAATATCATCTTCAAAATAAGACTTGGGGATCACAGATATTGGAAGATTGTATGTAAAAAAATGCCGAACCCATGTCCTAAGTGCACTTTGTCTGCTTTATTTTGTTTCAATTGTTGCGGCATTGTTTTTGAACAGTGCTAAAAATCCACCCCAAAAAAACAAGAAACAAAGATTTGGCAACTAGTCTAGAGGTCAGAGTAGTTGTGGAAACATTGTTTTTTTTGTTTTTTGGTTCCAGATTAATCATGATTAATCTGGATTAATCTGTGCAGTGAATGCAGAGAAGTGAAGGCAGATGTTGGAAACAGATGTGTGTAATTGGACAAACGTAGGGCAGATGTAGGCAGATGACTGATGTAGTATAATTACGTGGTGCCATGACATGTGTCAGAAACGATTCTTGTGAGGGCAAACAGTAGGAAATTATTCTGATGAAACTTTTCTTCCCCAAGACTTGTGAATTCTGCCGCTTACAACAGTCCTTTCCGTTATATATATATATAATATCGTCACTTCTGGGTCAGTGTGATCACAGGAGCGCTTGCGGCATCGCTCTGGGGCGTATTTCCGCTACGAGCCGGAGCCTCGGAGCCTCAGTCCATGACGTCCAGCTGCACAGCTGCTGCACAGCATAGGAACAGAGACAATCCGATTGACGTTGTCCTCGCCTCAGAATTGGATGTTTTATGATGTTTTTGTCAATTGAAACTTTCTGGGGATGGGTCCAAGCCTATGGCACTGGGAGGATTAACAATCCAGCTGATGTTCACCAGGCTGCATTGCATCGCTGCACATCGCTGAGGTGATGAATTGCCCAGGATATCTCGGCTCTCGGGAGCGCATGACTGCAGGAACTCATTGTGAAGAGGTGCAACATATTGCAACATTTCCGTGCTTGTGATGTTAGCCTAGGATAAACGGATCAACACGCCGGTGGTTGATTGGTATGGTATGGGGGATGGTGGTGATGGGTACCACTTTCGAAAGTGATGAACATGATGAACATTGGATTATCATTCGACCTTCTGCGAAGCGTACTGAAGCGGACACGCACGCTGATCCTGGCTCGACATGCCTTGGAAGGTGAATTATGCCGAACGTGAGCATGCGAAAGTTCTCCGCGATGAAGTCACAGAGGACCCTTTCTTCATGGGATCAGTTAACCAAGCATTTCAATGCATTTCATACATATATTTCATACAATCTGCATAGGCCGGGATCTAGTTACTATACTCCCCAAGCCAACAAAAAGGGTGGCCCTGGATTCCCTGGCGAGGCTCGTCGCAAATGCAAATACAACCGCGAAGAGCACCGGTGGCGCTGCATTGCTGGTGCCGATCAGGCGCTGTGCGGCGCAGCTGTGGCAGTTCTGCGTAGGCTGTGCGGAGCTGTGCGTAGTACCCAAGGCGGAAGTCGACCGAGCGGCACGGATGCAACACGATCCGATGATGGGTAGAAAAAATGTTTCAGGCGGGGCATCGAAGAACAATTGACCATAAACATATTGTCATTGTTTGTCTCGGTTTGCACACCATAAGTATCCATGCGTGTACACCTGTGGGCAATCTAAATCCGAAAGAAGAAACATCATTCGCTGATGATGCACCAGGTTTTCCGGTTGTCACCCCACCGGGACGAGTTTCAATCCAACGTTCGAGCGCAGAATCTTTGCTGCCTGCAGGTCAGCCCTTCAACATTGTGAACCATTGAGTGGCTCCCAGTGCTACGACTTTCAGAAGATTGGACCCACCATATCACCAGCATGATGACGTGAGAAGTTGATGTGATGATTTGAGGATCTACCTAGGCCCTAGGCCAAGGTATCACTGATTGCCCGCCGCAGAAGCGTTTCTACTCAGGCTATGATCGAACCCCGGCTGGAGCGCAGCTGGAACATCACGACAACATGATTCGGTGCTTCGAATACTGTTGGCCCTAAAGATGTGTGGTGACATGCGGGGATTGGTCTCCAATTTTTTTTGCACTACCTGGATCTACCTGGATCTACCTGGATCTACCTGGATCTACCTGGATCTACCTGGTTACCTTCTTTTGCTTTTAGAAATTTCAGATTTCTGGCAGGTACCGATCCAGGGTCAGAGAAGCTGCTCTGGCGATGCGGAATCACCTGGGGTTAGTCCCTCATGGCGATGTCGAGTCTGACTTCATTGCGGTGCTGTGATAGCTGCGTTGTCAGCTGCGTTGTCAGCTGCGTTGTCAGCTGCGTTGTCAGCCTCTGTAACTTGTAACCAACTTGTAACCTCAAGTTAGCCTCAACTGCTTTCTTTATCCCTTGTCGCCCTTGTCCTGCCTCCGAGGTTCAATCCAATTATCGGTGAGCAGTGCCTGCCTGAGAGAAGAAACTCAAGTTGCAACAGTTGATTGAACGACATTGAATGCATCTTGGAAGCAGATTGAGTGCATATATATATATATATATGTATATATATATATATTGGAATTGCGACTTCAAAAGGGAACATCTGCAAAAACAAACCACTGAATTTAATTCCCAGACTTGCGGCAGGACCCATGGAATCTCCTTGCCGCCCCCTCCGCGCCCCCCGGCCTTGGCTCTGGCTTGCCACTGAGCACTGGAAAATTTGATCCAGCTTTTTGTTGCCAAACTGTCATATGTTTGGGCCTTCAGAGATGCAACTTGGGGTCCCATCTACAGCTGGATCCAAGAGTTTGGGTGTTTACAGACTGTTTACCGTAAACAGTTTACGGATGTTTCATGCTGAGGCGTGAAGCACAACAACCTGAGGCGGTGAGGCGTGCTGGTTCCTTCCCAAACTTGCGTAGTGATGACGACCCTCGCGACTCTCGCAATGCTCAAAGCAGCCCATCAGAATCAAGAACCTTAGCGGACCCAAGCATCTGACAGCCCTGACACCAAGATATTCGTTCGAAACTTAGGAACATTATTTGAGAATATTTGAGATCATACCTTGCTGCATTGAGTCACAGAGACTTGTACAGAATCTAGATGTGTCCTCAGTGATGAAGGTAGTACTTAGGCTGCTCCCATCGTGGAAATCTGCTGCATGCTCAGTTTCACCCAACAATCCCGTTTTGCAAGGGAACTGCGTCGACAAGCGAAATGCGTGTTGCACAAAGAGGGAGCTCAAGGGCGACAACCAACTCAGCCGCTTCAGGTTTGCTTCAGGTTTGCTTCAGGTTGGCACCGGCATGAGTCATGACAAAACTTGCCTGGCAGGGGCCACGACAAAACGTCAACATTCAATGACTTGCAGCATCTTGCAGCTTTGGCACAAGCCCAGGCTATGGACCTGTGGGAATGCGAAAAGCACAGAGATCCCCGATTCCATTCCTGATTTCATGAAAAACTAAAGCAGCACTGGTTTTAGACAAGACCTTGGCGACCGAGCCACAAGACCTCTCGCCTTTCATGAGGAAAGATGAAATAGTAGCACTTATGGGTTGCATTTCCAAGATTTTCTAAGCTTGCCATCTTGCGTTCGCACTTAGAGCCAAAGACCAAGCATAGAAGCTATATGAATACACATCTGAAACGATTGAACGCCAGCAGTTGCAAGCGAATTCGGTCTGAACAGACGCATCTTGTTGCAAGATGCCCTCTGTGCTGTCCTTGGGGACGAGAGGGGGCGCCGAGCTGCAGCTACCCAGTTGGAGTTTTTGGAGATTTTCATAGCTTTTCTACTTGGTCCATCTTTGCTTTATCTCCACTTGCAATGTCAATCGTCTACGTGGGGCTGCTTGTAGCGGATTGTGCTAAGCCTGCTGCCTTACTCCCTCATTTTTGGACTGCTCCAGCTGCTTGAGTTGATCTCACTATCGGTTTGAACTAAAGTTGAATCAACTGTGAATGAAATAGCAGACTCTGGATCTGTTTCTCCAGGTTGCACTTGGCCGGACTTGCCTTTGATGGGCCATCGGCGCAGGCAGGTTCCAAAACTTGAAACTTTGTGTCTGACGAACAACAAACACACTCAACACGTCTCAACACAACCAAGACAAGTCAAGACAATTGAAGACAATTGAAGACAATTCAAGACAACCAAGACAAAGTTGGGCCAATCTGCAGGAGTGGTTGAAGCAATTGGAGCCCTCGCCTGTCCGGCATGGGATGTGCCTTTGAGCCGGACCTTCCCGGACCTTGGCATCTCATCGGTCTCATCCCATACCTTTTTCACAGCACACGTATTCAATACATTTCAAAACATTTCAATATTTTCAATACGGCGTATTCACGGACCGACCCATTCTCGGAGCGGTGCCAGGCCGGAAGAAGACCTGCTGGCGGATGCCATTGCCGAGGGACCGTGGGAGTGGATGAGGATCTGAGACGCACTGAAAATGGCTACTTTGTAGATCAATGTAGATCAATGTAGATCAACGTATCAACGTAGATCAAGTTGCAGTTTGAAGGCTTTGAACATTTGGAACCTATATGAACCTATTATGAATTATAATACAATAGCAAGTTCACGAGAAATGAATGGATATGAATGGTTTGGGACCTTGGGACGAACCTATTGTAAGGATCACAAGCTGATGTTAATGAAATGCACAGAGGAACCTCCTGATGGATGAGAAAAGTGCATTGGTATGCAAAGCTCAAGTCTGCAACGAATTCTATGTGGCTTCTCCGCAGTTTCATGTCTCAATTTGTATCCATAGATCATGGCGGAACACGGATTGTGTGGACTTAACGCAAGTGGATCCCTGACGGAAAAGGATATACAGTGTGATATACAGTGGACTTCCACAGCATCGGCCTCTCTCATGCCCACAGATAGTGGTGCCAGAGACTTGCTCTCTGAATTGAAGCGCGTGCTGGATGCCAGTGGAATCCATGCGCTGCGTGAATGTATGGCAGCTTTGCAGGATTCAATGATGAACATGGAGATGTTGGTGGCTGCTCAAGCTTCAAAGATGGGGGAAATGGCTTCGGTCATGCAAACCTTGGCCAAAGAACCTTTGGCAAAAGAAACAAAAACAAGGACCGTGTCACATCTGTCTTTGAGGGTTTCAGCACCTTCTTCTCCTGTTTCGAAGCCAGAGCCACAACAGGTTTCAGCACCAGGTCTTCCATCGCAAGATCCCATCCTTTTGCCCACGGCAATTCCGAATGCAATGCCAATGGGCCCCACGGGCCCCACGGGCCCAACGGGACCACAGAACCACCCTTCCAGGAGCAGTCAAGACAGCAGACCCCATGCGTCCGGTGACAGTGAGTCGGAGAAGCCTCCACCGAAAAACCTCGGGTCCTTCCATTCTAGAAGAAGTGGAAAGAGCCCGGGCAGCTCCTTTGGTTTGGATGCTTTTCTTGGCAAGGTGCGATCCCCCATGCTAGGGATCGCCAATCTCGAAGATCTTCAGGCCAGCCAATTGCTCCAGTCCATGCGCCGACCCAGCCGCCGCAAAAACACGGGAGCACGGCGGTGCTCGAGGCAGTCGGAGGACCCTCCGAGGTCAAGCTCCCACAGAGCTGTGAAGATCGTGGAGAAGAACCCACAGACTGACCGCGGGCTGCTTGAGCCAGCACTTCAAGTTGCACCACATCCAAGCGATTCATCTTTGCTGCCCAATGGGAAGAAGAAGGCACACACCATGAACAGCAGGCTCCTTGGAACATTTTGCAACAAAGACTTTTTCCTCAAACATGTTTTTGATCCTAGGTGAGTACTTTTTCCTGAATAAAATCCGGATCCCAGATATGCCGCTGAGGCCGGCAGGAGAAGACAAAGCCGCTGTCTTGGAAAAATGTCAAAGAGTCTCAATGGAGGAGCTCAGGACGAATTACGACGCAGTGATCGCTCAGTTCAGCGTAAACAAAGTGTCTGAAAGCAGGGGGGATGGAGAGGTGTCTGCCCTCCCTCGTGTCGGACGCTGCTTGCTGTGCATGGCTGGCCACTTGCGCTTCAGCGAAGGACTAGCATCCCGATGCTTTGCCATTCTCAGCTTTGGCATCATCCCCATGGCCATGAGTGGTCTTCTCCTTTACGGTGGAGCAGTTTCCCTCATGGATACTTCTTTGCTTCTGGCTCTAACGAGTTTTCAACTTGGCATTTCTGTTGCCAGTTTCAGTTTCGACCGGAAAGGTATCGCGCTCCTTTTAGGTCCAGAGGAAACTCGCCTAGATGATTATGCGCTCGAAGCTGACTTCATGGCAGATTGGCAGAAGGTTTCCCGGAAGAGGTTCATTGAGACTGTTTGCATGTTCATTGGCATGATGTGTGCGAGAATTGCTGCACAGATTTGGGTGAGAGGCCAGCTTGAACTTGAAGCAAACTGGGACCAAGTCTATACGATCGCCTTTACGTTCATGCTCTTCCGGTATCTGCTGTTGTGTTACTCCATTTTGCACTGCTGCTGTGGCCTGGAACTTGCTTTGGACAGCTTCGGGGTTCGATTTTTCAGGGAGATGGACATTGAGCAGGTGCAGAAGAACAAAGTTCCATCAAAGTTCCATCAATAATCAATACTTGGGAAATAAGTTTCTATTTGATTTATTTATCTGCATAATTCTGCATATGTTTATACTATACTGACTATACTATATTAATCTATATTATGTAATGGCTGTTTTTAATCCTTTGCAGATTCAAAAACTCCACATCGCTCTGGCAGGCCTTGAGTGAGTGGAACACATTGCAGGCCACACTTCGGCAAGCGTCCACGAAGATCAGCGATTCGTTGCTGGTGATTGGCTTTTGCTGCCTGGCAAGCATTGCCCTTTTGGGAGAGCAGGTGATCCGGAATCCCCGCAGCTTTGTGGAGACCCCAGGCACGGTCGCACGGTCAAATGTCAAGGATCTTGACACCAGTTTGACAATTCTTGAATCAAATACATTCAACTACTGTAGGCCGACATGCAGATATGTGCTACAGGTGGCACCGACGGTGGCACCTGGTGCATAGAAGGATGCAAACACAAGGGTTTGAAAGCAGTTCGCGATTCATCCTGATTCGGTGTTTTCAAGATTTTGAGATGTTCAGTCTTTTTTGGAGGTGGACATGGAGCGTGCATGTGACCAGGTCAAATGACATCTTGGCTCTCAAGATACTATCCCTTGATGATCGCCTTCCTGTACACCATGATGCGGGCAGCTGCGGTTACGGAAAAGGCCAATCGCGTCGCGCCCTTGGTGAATTCGTGGAAATTCCACAAATCCCATCAGGAAGATGACGAGAGGGGGGTCTGGATGGACTACGAACGACAATACGTTGTCCAATACATCAGTCAAAGCAGAGCAGGTTTCTTCATCCGAGGGTCACAATTGACAGTGCCTACCGTGCAGAAGTTGCTCTACTACCTGGGAGCTGTTTCATTCGCTCTTTTCTCTCGCCTGTCAGCAGTTTGACTCCGTCTCGAGATTCTGAGCGTGACGCGCCATGCCGCGCGTTTCAAAATCCGTGTTCAAATGCCTTGAAACGCCGAGCAGAGTTACTTTTATATCAGCTGATCCATCAGCTCCATGAACTTTACATATGAATCCATTTGCATCAAACGAGATAATCAGATACCTGCTCACTCAGTTTTGCTCGGCAAAATACTTCTTTGAATGTTTCACATTGCTTCTTTTTTTCAAGTCGCTCTACTAAGTAGCGAGGTTTCACCAGGCAACTCTGCGCCGTTCTACAGAACCACCGAGGGAAACCGAGACAGCCTGATGACTGTCTAAGGTCCATCGCCCATCTTCTTTGTCAAAGCATGTCAAAGCTCTTTGGGAGGCTCTGAGGTCTCGATTTCCCAAAGTGCTCAGAGTTGCATTTTCCGAAAGATTATCAACTTTTCCCCAAGACACTGTAGTGGTGACTTGCAAAGTTCTTGGCTAGAATCCAGGCATTTTGGTTTCTTTGGCCTCACATCATGACATCATGGTTACAACTGGTTACAACTGGTTACAACTGGTTACAACCATCCTACTTTGTCCTGGGCCTTGCCGTGGGATACGCAGATTGTTCGATTCCGACCCATGCAGTCGCACAGTCGGCAGCCGGGTGCTGCCACTTGGTGCGGCCCGTTTTCTTGGTAGCTTTCAACATGCGCCGACCAAAAATCTGCTCTGAACCTGCAGCAGCTCATCTTAAGAGCGGCAGTGAATGAAAGTTAGCCCTGCATCTTTCTTTGTCACAGCCAAGCTTACCCACATTGATGATGATCAAGAACAAGAAGAAGAACAAGAAGAAGAAGAAGAAGAAGAAGAAAGGAAGAAGAAAAGGAAGAAGAAGGAGAAGAAGAAGAAGAACAAGATCAAGATCCAGCATTCACTTGGCCATGGCTCTTGACCATGGCTGCTGTTGAAGGACTTGCTGAACGAGAGCAAACAGCGCCTTCTCACCTTCCATTGGCTGTGAAGCCAGAGGAAGGGGAGAAGGGATTGTGAACCAACGTGTGCTGTTTCGAGCCATGATTTGTGGGCGGGAAGAAGAGCACCCAGGAGGTAAAAGTCAAATCATCTTCCATTGTTTAGAGTTTAGAGTTTAGTCAAAAGAAGGAACACTCACAATTTTGATCTTGCAAGTGTGGCGCAAAAAGTCAGAACGCCATATGACGCTTGTCAAATGCTGAATATGCAAAAGGAGAAGCAGCGTTTGAAACAGTTGGCTGCAGAGTTGGTGGCGATGCGAGAGGTCTTTTCCAAGGCAGGAACTTGTGGCTCTTCGTCACTCATGGTTGTGACAGGTGGAACACTTGTGATACAGCTGCCTTCCCAGGAGCGAGAGCGTCTTGGAGCTGAACAGGAGGACTGTTACATTGCTGGGGCCTTGTAGATTGCTGCCATGAGCAAAGAGTTGTTGTTCTTCGGCAAAAGCACTGATATAAAGATTATGACTTAACTAAGAGTAACTAAGATATATTGGTTAAACCACTTGGTTGTTTGATGTTGTTTATCGCGTTGCAATACGCTTGGTCCACTTGGTCACGCTCCAGGAGGTCCGGGCGAAGCAAGCCAACATTGCAAAGAGAGAGGCAGAACTGCAGGCGCATCATGGCGCATCGGGATCAACGCGGGTCAACGGGGGGTCAAGGCTCACTTCAAGCGTCATCTCTGATTCAGCAGAGGCACAACAGGAAGAGCAGAAAAAAAGGGAAGAGGCGAGAAAAAATTATCCGCAGCCTGCAACTTGGCTTAAAATAGCTAAACTATGCTAAACTCCTTCAGGCAAAAGATGAACGAAGTATACAGAGAGGGCAACTGAAGCAGCTTGGGGAGAGTTGTTCTTCATTTTTCTTCTGTTGATGTAGCTTGTTTTTGACAGGCGTCACTTATGTAGGCAGTGGAGGCCGTTAGTTCAGTGTCGAGTGCCCGTGTTGCGCAAGGCATGGCTGGATTGCCTGGCACGTTTTGGAACTTCCTAACCTCAGATCATTTCAGATCTTAACTGACAATGGGCAAAAAGTCCAAAGCTCTACCAGGACAAAGTGGAGGGCTGTATCAACCTTGCCGTGGTTGGCAACTCTGGGGTCGGCAAATCCCTTCTAATCAACAGGCCAGCGCAGATGTCAAAGTTGACAGCATGAAAGGTTCACGAAAGGTTGAAATTTGGTGTTGGAATCCGAAGTGCAATGGCAAGATTCGGCAAACTGAAGAATTGCATCGGACAGGCTGCGGAGGCTTAGGCCGCAGGCAGAAGGGTGGGCTGCTGTTGGTGTGAACGAGACCACACGCGAGCCAACCATGTTAGAAGCTCAGCACTCACAATCCTCGCAGTCACAGAAATTGGATGTAATTGGGGGCCATCGAGGGTTTTTTGATTGGCGTGACAGCTTCCATCGCCAAGGTATCCCTATCCAAACCAGTTTGCTCCTCAGAGACCTTGGTGCATGGTGTAACTGTTGCCATTGAACCCGACCGCTGATGTAAGGCCAAACGTCAGGCTGTGGGACCTGCCCGGTGCCGGTACAGCGGCAGTACCCGCGGAGACCTACTTGCAGGTGACTTGGAAGAATCGTTGAGGGCTTTTTTGGATCATCAAGGTCATGTTTGGACTACAGAAAGTCTGAAAGATGTTGAACATAAGACAAGATTAACTTTGCGATAGGAATTCACGGTTTGTTCTGTTGTCTATTGTCTTCCAACTGGGAACATATCTTGTTGTGACGAGCTTGCTGCACAATTTCCCCAGCAGTTGCAGCGTAATTCTGGTCAGCGCATCATTCTTACACCCCAAATTGAAACAATCTTAAAACAACCAAGGAGCAATCCTGTGATCATTTTGTGTCTCCAGTAAGAAGGCAGGTGAAGCTGTCAATCGACGACCAGGACATGGGACTGCGCTACTTTGATCGAGTTGTGGTTGTCTCTGCGGGGCGCTTCACTGAAATGGAGGCCCATGATGGCCCATGGATTGGGATCACCGATGTTCCACAAGAAATACCCAGAGAGTTCTCGGGTCAAAAGTGATGGAAACTGCTCCATTTCAGAAGATTTGTGAAAGAAATCGCTATGAAACAAAGCACTTTTTTGTGTTGCATTCGTTTCGGACTCAGCAGCTCGGCAGGCCGTGCTTCGGGGCGAACTGGAGCGACACAGCGTTCCATATTACATGGTGAGGACAAAGGTGGATCAAGACATCGCCAATAACAAGGAGGAGCCATGGATGGGTCAACTGAGTGAGTCAACACCAAGGATCCATAAGGATCTAATACTTGGACCCCTGGATTTAAGTTATTTTGGGGGGACAACATCCATGAGTTCCACTGATGTTCGTCTACCAGGACACCAGGATGAACGGACCCATACTCCTGTGGTCACTTAATGTCAATTGTTAGACTGTTAGCAGCTCAGATTTGCTTCAGGACAACTTTGTAGAGAGGCAGGAGACCTTGAAACAAATTCGGGACGACCTCGAAAATACGCACAAAGTCGAAACGAAGAGTTTGGGCCATAGAAACTCAGCAATCACAACCGTCACGTACCGTCACATACCGTCACAAGCAATCGGAACACTGGTCCATTTCTGGTTTCATCATGTTTCATCTGTTCGGTGCCAAATGGTGCCAAGGCCTGTATCTCGTCTCCTCTAGAGATCCAGAAGATTACGACCTGCAGTGGACCTAGAGCTGATCAGTACCTGACTGGCGACGCTTTAACATAAGCGCTGTTTGGGAATGTTTGGGACATTCCGAGCTTGAAATGTTTGAAATCAGATGCATTCATTGCATTCATGGATTCGCCAAGTCCTCGCTTGCTGGCCGACCTTTTTCCTGGCTTGAAGCGGCAGTCTGGAACTCAGAACAGACAGATCCGAGCAGTTCGAGCAGTTCGAGTGAACATCTGCGTCTGAGGATGGATCCAGATGCTCCGGCCTTTTGCCCTGCAGGTACCGCCTTCCAGGCGACAGGGTCAGCTTGGGATCGCGAAGCCAGAAAAAGTGGCTCCCAGCTTCACTGCAGGGTTGGAGACAAGGCTTTATTCAAGCGAATTCAACTGTTCCACCCTTTAAAAGTGCATGCCTCCAGAAACTTGCCGAAGAGAGGATCAAAGATGATCTAAGTATATCCAACAAACTTTTTCGCAAGGTAAGAAGATGCTGTACCGGCTGTACCCCCTTCGTTCCAATTTTATTCCAACTGCCAGGGCAGCTATGCGCCTTCTGCCTGGACTGACGCTTGGGCCATGCCGTCCAGGTCTCAGCGAACTCCTGGCCTAGACGGCGGTGACGGCAACAGGATTGCATGGCGACAATGAACTGCTTTGAACCAAGGCCAGCCCTCTCAATGGTTCTATCTGGACTGCAAGGAAAATGGATTGATGCATATGGTTGTTCCTATTTAGTGCCCTACCTGCCCTGCCCTGCCCTGCCCTGCCTTGGCCTTCTGTCATACTCGGCCTTGACTGGGCATCTTGTTAAGGGTCAGCGCTTTGAGTGGCGAGGTACAAAACGACTGTTGCCACGTGACGCTGCGCACGGCTCACTATACTGTGGTGCCGCTGTCACAAGATGGGCGCGCAGTGTTCTGGCTTCAGTACCTCGGAAGGGAGGAATTTGGAAGTGGAACCAGAGTCAGATGGAAATGGTGTGATATGTGTGAAATGGCGATCTACCAGGTGCCGATTTCAAAAAATCATGCCTGGTGATGTTGGAATTCGAAATGACTCTTTTACTTTACTTACTGCCTTTGCATGTGCTGAGGCGTTGGTACGTGGACGAAGAGGCTATCACGAGGGCCCGGCAAAGCAGGGAACTCCGATGGATGCCTACACAGCCACAGGATCAGCCCTTGATTTGGTCATCAGCTCAGAAAGAACTCAGTGATCCCCCGAAACGACGCTTTCCCAGTCTGGTAGAAGCTGTGGAAGAATTGTGGGCCTCCAGTTTTTGATTCAGCCACCACATCATAAAAGTCTACAATCTCTGTTGACCTCAAGTTCAAGGAGGCACGTTAGGCACGTTAGGCACGTTAGGCACGTTGGAGCTCAGGTGGTTCTCTTACTGAGAGGGGCCTTTGAAACGAAGTGTGCAGCTATGTCCACTTCTGGCCAATGATCCGGCCGAATGTAAAATAATGCAAGATGTATCAAGATGTTGCAAATTTTGAAACAAATAATACAAATATCCGATATATCTGCTGAATCTGAGTTTGTCTTGACCTGGTGCGATCCGGCTGGAAGTGGGCCTTTGTGTTCACGCGCAATCTTTTTCGCATGAAGGTTGTCATAGCACACCTTCTGAAATCAAGCAGTCTGGATTGAAAGTAAAAAGTGATCATCTTGCCCGGTGGCATAGGTAAGATGTGTTGGTAAGCAGTCTTTGCCAAATTTGCAAGTACAAATGCGTGCCGCAGCAACGATCATGTAGTCATGGCTTGGTGTGAACAGAGCATTTTGGAGCTCAGACTCTTCTAACCTCCAAACCTCCACTCTCAGACCCTACTCCTCTCAGAGGCCCTATGTTACAGTTTGCTGCGATAGAATGGTGTTGTGAAACAAAGACTGTGTCATGTCAGGAAACCGACGACCCAGACCGTTCATCTTTTTTTTTCTAAATGTAGGGGACAGTGATGTCAATTCGAGCGATAAGGATGAACGGGATCCGGATATGCTGTGTCTTTTGCTCGGCAGGCCACATGGCGAACCTTTTGGACCAGGCTTTGGGTCGAACATTCAAACAGTTCAAACAGACTTCCTCAAGTTGTTCATGGTGGCAGGTCATGGCTGAATCCGAGCCCAAGAGGCTGGGAAATTCTCACTGAAACACAGTGACAGTGTGTGGTGCAAGAAACTTTGATGCTTTGCTTTCCATTTCATTGGGAAGATCTGTTTTGCATTGTTTTGCGTAGCGTGCGTTCAGCCAATTTGTGCACGCTTCTAGCCTTTTCTCGATGAAAGCAGGCACTGCACACAGGACCTTCGAATGCAGCTTGGCACTGCATTATGCAGGGAATCCATGGGAACATGTGAGATGCAGGCTCCAGTGTATCCCCCAACTTGTCAGGAGAAGATTTACTTTGTGGTTTCTAGGGCACATTAATGTTGCGCAGTCAAGTCTTTGTTCATGCACAGCTGCCTGACAAGGATTGATTTGCCAGAAGACAAGGCAGTGGACTTGGAATCTTGCTAAAGCAGGAAGTGCAGAAGTCCTCCTCAAACAAAACTTCACAACCCATGTCATGACATCATGCATCATGCTATGATGCAATGTGATCATTTTCTTGGAAAGCCTTGTGGAACAGGACTGCATGTCATCAATTGCTTTGCAAAATATCAGGGAAAAGGATCAGGTTGCATACTGACGCGCAGATTTTGTATTTCTCATCTTTCCTTGCAATTCGTCCAGCATCGAATTTGACCCGTAAGCCCATTTGTGTCATGGTCAAACCATGTTTTTTTCTTCCCATAAAGATCATAAAGATCATAAAGGACATGGCCATGCTCCCATTCATATGCGTTTATATTCTATATACTGCCAGTAGAGGGTTAGATAGTCTTCTCATGTTATCATAAGTTATATGTTATATATATATATTTATATCTCCTATTTTTAGGATGGTTTATGGATGGTTTATCCAGCTGGTTGGATATCCGGAGGATATCCGGGATGACCGATGCTCCAGGCCTTGAAGAAACTGCTGCAAAGCTTTCGAGCTGCGCAGGATCAATTGGCCACCGCCAAGGCGGCAGCTGCAGCGCCAACTGTGACAAGTTGTGTTACGAGTAGCGACAGGTTGTGACAACATCTGACAACCTGTTACTTCTTACTGTTTGCGTTCTCGAAAGTATATTCTGCAGTCTGTCTTCTGATAATCTGGCCATATCTGGCCATATCTGGCCTCACCATTTCTGCCTTTTCTTTTGAATTTCCCTTACCTGTTGCAGGCCTCCGGAGAGATCGAAGCGGCCGGGCAGGAGAGCCAGCCTACGGTGCTGTGGTTACCCGAAGTCACCAACACCACTGATGTCACCAGATTTACAAACCCTGATTGAGTATTGGGCGGTTCTCCCCAAAACAGGACTGATAGAATTTCTATCAAGTAATACCGACCTCTCTTTACAGAGGCCAGAGGTCCACATTCATCCGGGCTCTCCTAGCCCCTCAGGAGTTGCAAGTTGTTGCATCGCAGCTGATTGAGTTGGTTCATCGTCTGACGATGCGCAGTGACCAGGTGTGGACTCCAGGTGTGAACATAAAGGAATAATCACAGCGACATCAGAAATGGATTTACATCTTTCTACTTTCGAAGTGATTTTTTCCTGGAATTCACTTGTTTGCATGTCGTTGCTGTTCAATGACAGAGTTAGAATGACCACAACTTCAACTTCGATGGCCAGGTCGACGCCATTCTCGGAGAAAAGTCTACCGATCTTCACGTTATCGAGGCTCTGGTTTTTTGGATGCTTTCCTCAACCGGCAGACCGCAGCAAACAAAAAAACATCATGACATTAGAGGAGTTTCTCTAGGATTTTGTTGCTTCATGTTGGTTCATCAGTATAAACCTGATTAATCAGTGTATAAATCTTATAAATCTATATAAATCTATATAAATCTGTAAATTCTCTAAGCTTTGGTCCAATCTCTGCCGACCGACAGGCGCCGCTCCGGGCTTCCCTCGAATCTCTCCTGGGAGTTCGTGAGCGCCTGAAGCAGATCGAGGCCGAGAAGGCGGGGAATTTGCCAATCAGAGCTGGGAATCTTTATAAAAGATGCTGAATTGTTAGCAAATGCTTCAGCATCCTTCAGCATCCTTCAGCACCCTTCAGCCTAGTGAATGTCAACAGGCTGCTCTTCAAGCTTTGAAAAGTGAGGAGGACCATGATGTTGCTGTTTGGTTGGCGTTGATGTTCTGACGCTACGCATGTTGTGCGGAAAGGAAACCATCATGTCACTGGATGCACTTGTCAAAGCACAGAATGTGTTGATGAGTATCCTGATCATTCCTGCCATGTGCTGATCATCCAGCTTGAAAAAAGGAGCAGAAGGCCGCTTCTTGGGCGACTCAAGCCAAAGAAGCAGCCAGCACCGCGCAAATGGAAGGGGGTCGGGCTGAAGCATTAATGAAGCAAGCAGGCAAAGCTGCAGAGGAAAAGCGAGAAGAAGAAAAAGCAGCCGAAAGGGCTCGCATTGAAGCTGAAGAGAAAGCCCGAATTGAGGCTGAGCAAGCGGCTGAAAGGGCTCGAATTGAAGCTGAAGAAAAAGCTCGAATTGAGGCGGAGAAAGCAGCTGAACGGGCTCGAATTGAAGCTGAAGAAAAAGCTCGAATTGAGGCTGAGCAAGCAGCTGAAAGGGCTCGAATTGAAGCTGAAGAAAAAGCTCGAATTGAGGCCGAGAAAGCAGCTGAACGGGCTCGAATTGAAGCTGAAGAAAAAGCTCGAATTGAGGCCGAGAAAGCAGCTGAAAGGGCTCAAATTGAAGCTGAAGAACAAGCTCGAATTGAATCTGAGAAAGCTGCTGAAGCAGCTCGTATTGAAGCTGAAGCCCAAAGTGTTATGAAATCTATGAAGTCAGACACAAGTACAATGGATTTGCAGGGAAAGAATGGAGTTGAAGATCAACCGAAAGAGCAAGCCCCTGAAGCACTTGCCACAAATCCATCCCTTCCAAAGACTGGTCCTACCTCGCCTTGCAAGCAGCAGAAAGCTGCACAAGATCCGACTTTGACCTCTCAGGCTGGACAGCATTGATTCATGAAGCAATGATAAGCAATGGGAGGCAGCCTATGGCAACATATGGCAGCTTGCCTTGTGACATCTTGTGACTTGAATAGCTGCATGCTGTGCATGGACCCTCAGAGGTTGCTGAAGTGCAGCGGCTCTTTGTGAAGTCGGACGCATGCCCAAAGGTCCAGGCCTCAGTGCCGCAGAGCGACGGTTCGCGTGTCATTCGGCTTCCGACGATGTAAGGTCAGTGGAGAGTACCGCCGCAGCGAGAGCCAGATGCTCAGTGTCCTCAGATCTTTGGGCAGCGTCCAAATTTCTCCCAGTGTTTGTTTGCTTTGGTGGGAAATCAGGGGCTTCGAATTTGGAGATGCTTTTGCAGATTCGGTAAACTCAGTAAACTCAGTAAAAGAGCTGTTTACCCCTTCGTTGGAGGTGACTGGCAAGGTCGTCAAGCCTTTAAGAAGCACAACGACGAGATCTTCTTGGTTTGGTCGCCTCGTGAGGCTTGGTAAACCCAAACATCAGGTAGACTGAACTTCTTTAGGAACTGTACCAGCTGTCTTGGCTGTTAAGCACAGTGATGGATCAATGGTTTTTTCATGTTTTTTCTGCTTCATCATGGTGCCGATTGTCTACATGTCAGAGGCGTCAATACTGAATTGAACTAGATCACTGCTTCTTTGTTGGCTTCTGTGTGGACAACATTTCCCCGTGGGAATCTTTCCATTCTGGAGGCTGGACATTGGACCTTCACTCGAGATCCCAATGCGGAGGAAGTCTTGGCACGCAGCTTGCAGGCGAGGAAAAACCTTTTCTGGTAGAATTCCCAGAACTCACCAAGGTGTCTGGCACCAGAAAAGATCCCTAATTCATCCTAATTCCTGAATCCATTGCTTTCCCTCTACTACTGATCTGGACGACCAAATGGTTTCAATTCTCACGTTAGGGGACAAAGCACGAACATGTGTGACCACGTGTGATATATATATAAATTATATATACATAGATTATATATATATAAATAATTAATTATATATATACATATATATATACGTATAATTATATATATATATTATATTGATATTTAAACACATTATATAATTGAAATAGATATTACATGCTCTTCGATCCCAAGGTGGGGAGTCTGTGCCTCAGCATGCAGACCAGGTGTCCTTAACGACGACGCCTGAGGAGCTCATGTGCCGCAGTTGGACCATGGCACAAGTCTCAGAGATCGCAGAGATCGGCGAAACACCGATCTCATGGCACCGCTGAGGCCCCATGGAGAAGTCATGGCAGCAAGATGGTGGTGCGACTCTTAGGGGAGCTGGATGGATCTGGATGGATCTGGATGGATCTGGATGGATCTGGATGGATCTGGATGGAATGTTGTTGGAATGTTATTGGAAAATGTTGGAGACATAGATTTTCAGAGGGACACACTTCCAACATTTGCAGAGCTCTTCAATACTTGTTGGACAGACCCATCTTGGGCCTGAGTAGATTTCTGAGGTTCACATTCAGAGAGCCTGATTTGAAAGCGAACGACACCATCTTGAAATGCTTTCGATGTTGTGGGAATGACTGGGAAAGGAGCCAACGTCGCATTTCGTCTCATGACAAGCAAGCAGACGGCATGAAGAGTAAAATTTGCCAGCCATTTTGGTGACTCAAAGCCTGATATTTGTTGTTTTGATCCACGCTCCACGCAGTCTAGCAAATCCGCATCGACACGTGCATCATTTGGGGGATTGGTGACGTCGGATTGCCCGGTAAGACATTATGACCCACGAACACAATATTTTAGGAGGATGAACATCGATTTACCAGCTGATTCATAGCCAAAATCTTTGTTCAGAACGGCCTGGCTACCATCCGACGTCTCTGATCAAGCGCCGGGGGCAGCTTTCTACCAGGCCTTGAGCCTGTTCGCCTCTCATATACTAACTCAAAACCATAGTTGCAAGCGCTGGAGCGAAAACTGGCAGCAAAACAAATAAGCTGATTAAGCTGGGGATGTTTTAGGGGAAGTGGTTCACCAGGATGCTAGGGTTTCACGGGTTTCACTAGCAGCAGTGTTCTCTCGCGGTCAGAACCTTCACGAGCTGCGTTTCTGAGGATCTTCAATTTCGACACACAAACGCTTGTAGAATCATGTCGGACAGCCCCAAATGTTCTTGCCCCTTGCACTGCTTGCCTCAGTGTCGCTCTTCATGCTGCAGCTGTTCCGTTCAACATGAGCTGCCCATGGGAACGTCCAAGCATGGTGACTGCACCAGCAGTTACCAGCTGGAGCTGCTACAAGTCCACAGACAAATCAGCAAAAAAACCTGCAGCAACTCCTACAGAGACAACTGCTGACATGACCATGGCTGAAAGATCCCAGTCCCAAGCAGATTTCTGAAAAAAACACGATCACAAGATCTCCGGCTGTCTGAGACCATGCTTCAGCTACTTGGCCTTTTCGACCCTTTTGGCAAGCTCCGGTTGCGGAATGGGGAACCTTACTAGATATTTATATAATATAAATATAAAACTATATATATATTACATAGTATTAATGATGATCATGATCATGCGATTAGATGCGTATGTCTACGAATAATAACATGGGTAAGTTACGTAAGTGTTTGGGGCTTCAAAGAACTTTCAGAACAACCCATATCAAGCAATAGGCGACTAATCGGTCCCTCCCTGATCCTTAGAGGTCATCACAAAACAGTGTGCGACACGGGTCATGGTTGACACGTGTCGCCAGAGACAAAGTACATCAAAGTTCCAATGGACCATAAATGCCATAAATCATCATAAATCATCATAAATCATCAAAAATCTATAGAATTAAACCTCTGGTGCGGGGAAAAGCGATGTATCGCTTCTCTACCCTGAACAAGACCTGAGGCCGATTGGAGGCGAACTTCTAATGCCCCCGCCTCAGTACAGTCTTGATCAACTTGGGACAATTGGACGTCCAATGGACCATCGAGTTGGTGATCCTTCTGTCCACAAGTTCTCAGACAACCGGCAAGTCTTCCGGATACTGGAGTTGTCTTCATATCATTTCGTTGACTAAGTTGACCCATGGATAGCATTGGAGGATATTAGAGGTGAAATGAACTGCAACCAAACAATTGCAGCAGAATTTGATGGCACCAGGCGCGTGGCTCCTGTGAACTCCTCAGCTTTATCTCGTGTTGTGTGCCTCGTGGCAATGGAAAGTCCCTTGGGTTCAGCAGGAAGATCCACATACAAACAACCTTCACCGCAGTGCTCAGGAAGTGAAGAGAACTCTTTGCAAGTTCTTTCTTGCCGGTACCTGCGAAAGGGGGGAGCTATGTACTTGGCCGGAACCTCAGCTCTGCGAGATCAAAACAAACCCAAACAGATCAAAAACGATCAGAAACGATCAGACAATTTGAGATTTTCAATGTTTTCAATGTTTTCAATGTTTTCAATGTTTCCAATCCAACATGAATCACCATTTGCCAAAGTTGTTTCATGATGTTTCATGATGTTTTGGGGGTCGCTGAAGACAGATGGCTCAGATGACATATAGCTTAGTTTCTGCGCCCAGAGACCCATCGCCAGGGCGCATGGCGAACAAGAGCTGGGTGAGCCGATAGGCCGGTGGAGCGATGGACGGCTGGAAACGTCGCCAGAACAGTGACGAATATGAAGAATGATACAGATGATACAGGGACCAGAGGACTCCGCAAGGACCAGACATTGTCAAAGACAGATTTGAAACAAGGACTTCTCTCTTGTGTTTCTAGTTTTGGGTCACTTGGACTTGTATCCTTTACGTTTTTCTTATGGTCCGTTTCTATTTGCGATGGCAATGCAATTCAAAGATTATATGGTGAGTGGTGCAGCAACTGCAGGCGGCTTGTTCAACGAGCAGGCCACCTTCCATATAACTGGCAGCAGCAGCCAAGTTCATTGCACATTTACGACAATTTGGGTCCAACTCGCAGCTAAAGGCATTTAATTTCAGAATAGATTTGAAACACCAATGGCAAATTCTTGGATGTCCCAACCTGTTCTTATGGATATTCTTATGGATACAGTATCAGTATTCAGAAGTTTTTAGTGTACCCTGCCTGGCGTTCGGTCAGCCTTGCCTCAGCCATCAGCCGTTCATTGCCTCAGCGATCGTCCTATTGGACTGCCTTGTCATGTTACGCTTGGCGTCCTTGGCGTCCTTGATCATCGCTGCACAGGCCGCCTTGGCACAGAATCATTGTGAATCATTGAAGCAAGCTTGAAAAAATTGAGAAGTTCACTATGTTTTTGCAACGCGAACATATTTCTGAAAGAAGTAACATAGAATTACTGCATGACTGCTCACAGTAGAAACATTTTTTCGTGAGGAATTTAGTTGATGGATGTTGTTTGAGACTGCATTGAGGCCGGAATAGAGAGATTGAAGGTGATCAATGGCTGCCACCAGAAGATATGGATCACCCACTTGGCCAACGAGCAGCACTCAGAAAGTCCAAAACGCATCTGGAAGATACTGGATCCACTTCCAAATTGGATGACGCTGAGGTGGGCATTGGGCCTGCTTCTCAGTGGTTAGTTTGCAACAGCCGTGGCTGTTGAGAGTTGTTGGCGCACACACTCAAATTGAGATTGGAGAAATGCAGCCTCATCATTTTGTTCAGTATTTCAGGTACTTTAAATACATGTGTTTAAGATGTAGAGGGTAAACATATTAAGTTTCTGAGATTAGTTTAATATAGTTTAATACATATAATTTAGTATATATATAAATATATATATAAATAAAATAAGAAAATTAGTCTTTAAGATGAGTTTTATATAAAAACAGTATAAAACTTATGATTATTTCAGCTTCAGCCGGATCTGATCAAGGCCAGGGCCGCAGAACTATGGCATCGCGCCGGGAGGATCTTTGACCTTCGATGAGAGTGAAACCGATGGCCTGGCGGGCAGCCGCTATTGGCCCAAGATGGGCTGTGATGCCAATGGGCGCCTTGGCAGAAAACTTGGAAAACCGAAAAAACAAGTATCGACTTTGCTGAATTTAAGTTTTGAAATTTTTGAGTTTCTGCAAATTTCGGTTTAAAGTTTTATTAGTTTTAAGTAAATTCTTGGAAAGGGTTTGATGGGTCCAGATGGTCCAACTGTGCAAACTGTTTTGCAAGGTGGGGTGCGGACGCATCAATGAACAATAAGATTTGTGGTGAAACTCAGAAACCGGCCCAGGGACAACTGCGCCTTGGGTGGCAGTGGTGGCCCAGGGCAAGGATGCGTGGTGTCCTCAATGTTTGATTTGATCTTCAGTGACTTTTAGATTTCAAAGTGTTTCAGTTTTTCATTTGAGAAGCGCAGACTTTGCATGGGGTCCAAACCTATCATGTTCACCAAGACCAAAAAGACTCCTGACTATTCCTCTTGCGCGCCGCCTATCGACACTAAGTTTGAGGCGCGCAAGTTAAGGTCACTTGATGACGCAACAGATTTTGCACAGATAGCCTTTGTTTGCAGCGTGTGGAAATTAGTTTTGGAGACTTCTTCGAAAAGATCGAGACTTTATCGTCCATAGACGGACAAAGATAGCACCCTCAACTTCTGCTCCAGGCAACCTGGGGCCGCCAGGCACGACGACATCAGTAAATCCCATTCATTTTCAGTTTATGACCTGAAGCAGCACAGGACCTTGCAAGCTTGAACAAAGTTTGATAAAGGTTCTGTCTGATAGATTCTGATAGCTTTTATTCTGCCATGCTAAACTAGTTCGGACTTTGGCAGGGACAGCCGTGTAATCCAGCCACCAACCAGATGGGCGGCTGTGATTTCATTGATGTTAGTGTTTGCCTCAGACTCTTAAGAAATTCTTAAGAAATGCATGTGATGAAAACATGTGATGAACACTTTCCGTTTGGCACATCGGGTTGAGAAATGGTTTCAGCCTTTGGCGCCTTTGGTGCCTTTGGCCTTGGTCATCCTTTGTCGTGGCTTTGCTGAGGCCTCGTGGATGGCTTCACCTTGGCTTTCAAGTTGGAGGTCCTGGCTGGGACCTGCACGGGACGCGTGCCCCGACATGCCCCGACTCATTTCAGTGTTCCAAGGTGTGTAATGCCAAGTGCCGAGACATGCAGCTGGTGCCCAGGTATCAGATGTCCACACCGTAGATTGCTCCAGCCTTTCCGTGTCGCAGTGTCCCACGGATGACAATCTGGGTCAAGGGCCTGTGAATATGCAGGTGGGTGTCTGAGTTCAACTTCCAAGTCATTTTGCATCATTTTGCTGTCATGCCAGTCTGCTGAGGAGAATCTCTCCCCAGCTTTTTTGGAGTCAACATACAGTCTTTCTTTGCTTCACGAGAACCTTTAGAGAAACTAAAATTCCCGGTGTCTAAGAAACACTGGACGTCCCCGTGTGTTTCTCAAAAGTAGGGAACCTCCAACCACGAATTTGCCATCTGCTCTTAGCCAGGCTACGAGCCCCAAGATCCAGAAACCCGTTGGTTGGATCCTCGGTTTGGCCAAGCCAGAAGCTGGACAGAGTTTTTTCAACCTCAGCTGCTTTTGGCTGCTTCTGAATCAACTGATCTAGTGATTTGTAAGGTTGCTATGCACCTTGCCTGAAGATGATCGACAACAAGTGGAACAATTTTCAGGCAAATGGCAAGGGTTTGCCTCTTTCCGTTTGGGTGCATGGATGCTTTGGGCCCTTGTAGCCCCAGAACTGCTTGATGCTTTATTGTGCGAAGCTGTTGACCAGAGTTCATGTTGCACTTCACCAGTCTTAGCAATCATTCTCTCAAGACTTCATTGTACTTATGGAATCCTTTCTTTGGCTACGGAAAACGATAATTTCTTTGGAGTCTTTGGGCTCCCACCAATTTAGATTTGGATGATTTTGGATGACAATGCTGTACCTGCAATATCCATCTCTGACCTGTTTCAGCGCTCCAGGCGAAAGGTAAGTCAAGAAACGATGCAGACGTGACAAAGTATTGCGCCCTGGCTTGGTGTCCAGAAGGGTTGCCGATTGGAAGCCTTGGAACTCTGACAATCATCAGATTGGTTGCCTTGGTTGCCAAAGTAGCTCAAATTTTTCATCTGTGAATATCTGTGACCTGTTGCTTTGGACGATATCCTTTGTTGCCAACTCGATACAGCACGGATCCATCCATGTGGCAGGCTGCACTACGCCACCTGAAACATCTGAGAGCTGCAATGCGGGACCTCTGCCACAAACCAAATACGTTCAGGCCTTCTGCCAGCCTTCTGCCAGCTTTCTGGGCCTTCTGCCAGACTTGTTGAGTCGTGACTTGCCACGTTTTGCACAGGGCTTCATTTCTGTCGCACTGCCGCCCAGACTGTGCATCAACATTGTCCGGGCGTCTATGCCTTTGCCTACGATGATGGTGCGCTGCAATTTCTTCTGGTGATAGCAAAACTTGGCAGGAAACAAGACTGTACTGCAACAAACACATTGCTTCAGGTCGTTGATAGCTTTACCATACGTTGATATCTCGATTGAATCTTGATTGCTACTTCTGAAATATACCCCTTTTCATCAAACTGGACTTGCACCAGGCCAGGGCTTGATGCGCTGCTCTTATGGTCTGAAGCCAAAGATATGGGATTTCAGAAGGGATCAAACTTGGCTTGCTGAATTTTCCTGCATCCAGTGGGGCCTCACTGCATCCCACCTGGTTCAACGGTGCTTTAGTGTGGAGGCCAGTACCAGCTGACCTTCATGTGTCCAGATTCGGTGATTCCTGATCAACTCTACGAAGATGAACAGGATGAAGAGGTGAAAGAGGCTCGGGGATCACAAGATGTGACAAGATGTGACAAGATGTGACAAGATGTGTGTGACAGGGTATTGACAGGGTATGCCACTCTGAGTGGTGTGTGTGGCAGGGTATTGACAGAGTGGCATGGTTTGGCCAGCAAAGTCGCAGTCGTGGACTTCCAACACTTGTGTGAGTCGAACGCTTGCACTTTCCAGCAAAACGATGCAACTCTATACCTTATGATACCTTCCCTGTTCAGTGCTTTTTCTTTGCAAGGCGAGCAGCTACGTTAGTCGAGTTGGCCTTGCGCTTCCTGTCGACAGCTCCCCAGCTCTCGTTCGTATCATGACGCAGAAGTTAGACATTGCATGGAATTCCACATAATTCCACCGTTTCAAACGCTGAGTTTTTTTTCAAAGTTGCCCATGTTGCGTGACTTGCGTGACTTGCGTGACTTGCGTGACTTGCGTGGAGTCGCCAAGGCCGGATGCCTAGGACTTGCCGTTGCGGTGCTTGGGGCTTGGCGTTGGAAGGAGAGACGTGGCAAGAGCCTCAGAAGGAGCACTTGTGTCACTTGTTTGGGTGGACGGTGGAGAAATTGATAAATTGATAAATTCTCTTGATGTGCAAGGTCAGGCGAAGACCCTTGAAGAAGATTTGGAAGTGGAACTTGTGCCGGAATAGAGCGTCCGGGCCTGTGAAGCAGGCTGTAGACACCAGAAAGGATGTCTGCGGACCGGGTGCTTTCTGAAGTTGGAGCCCCCACATCCATGGAAAACAAAAACAGGCTTCGATGAAAGCTGTGTTTTGAAACGCACAGATGTCGGAACCAAACAGATCATGACAGCTCCACATTCTCCGGAGGTCCAAAGTACCGTGCTCAGGCAGCGTGACATTGTGATTGTTTAAGCTTGACCAATGCACCACTTCCCTGCCGTGGCATCATGGCATCAACTATAATTTTCTTTGTCCCTTTACAGCAAGGCAAACTGAAGTCCCTTTGTAGATCGTTAAAGACCGGATTGCTTATGCCACAGTGGTAAGTCAATTAATCTCTAGAATCCTTTAGACCAGGCATGGCCTGCAATTGGCGAATATTGGCGACCTGTGATCCAAGATCACCAGAGATCAACATGAACCAATTACAAAAGCCCAAAGTGGCTTTGACGCAGCGAAGCTGCGTGAAAACGGCCGCGTGATATGGTGTGATGCTGGCGCTGGATGATTCTACCTGCTCTTGGACTCTACCCAGTGTCCAAATTGTTTGGAGCTAATTGAATTTGGATTGCGACCGGCAGGATGTTTTCCGAGATGATGGCAGGGGACCTACTCTTATTCGTTTAAGGTTGATGCGACAAAAAGAGAATGCGGTTTTGAAGCAGCAGAAGAGACAGAACTTGACTCTGAAGCCATGATCATGAACTGGTGTCCAAACATACTTTCTGTTTTTGTTTTCATTTGCATTCTTCAGGATTGCATGTCAGCGCCTCAGTGCTCGTTTGGATGTTGAGTCAGATCTGTGGCCCTTCTCCAAAGTGGAGCTTTCGACCTTTGAACCCGTCGATTATGATGAACTAAAATGAACCAAAGACTTTCTGTAGATTTCGGGCTGACAATGCCTGGGAAGCCAGTCGGAGCTATGAGGTCGGCAAGGTCGGTTTAGCTGGTTTTGCAGGCGTGGAGCGAGTCTGGCGATGGGGTTTGCAAATGTCTATCCTATGTCGTGCAGGGCTGTACATGCAACTGACTTTATTTCCTTCATGCTTGCAGCTTCTAGGTAAGCAGACAATGAGCATGGAAAGGTTATGATAAGCAGAGAATGAAAAGAAACGAAAGAAACCTCATCTGCATTTCAGCTAAGCTTGAGAGTAACCATGCATTCCTTTTTCTTATTGAACAACTTTGTCCAATAGAAAAGAGCTCAACTCCCAATTGGAACAGCCCACTAGTGGGCCTGCTGCCCCACACCAAACCATACACGCACACAGAGCCTACGGACCTACTTGAAGAAGACAAGCAGAGCCCTTGGCAAAGCAACATATATATGTTAACTATTGTTTGAATCTAAATGATATAAAGATTTTCTGGTTTTGACGCTTCATGGCTCTATGTGGCCCTCTCCTCTCTCCGGAGGCCCGTGATCGGACTTGTTCGAGTTTTTGTGCGTTGGACAGGAAACCAAAATTTTGCAGCACAAAAACCATCAAAAGCAGATAGCCCAGATAGCCCAAATACCGATACCTGAGATAACCAACTGTGTTTGGAACAAAAAACCTGAAACTTCAAAGCTTCATCGTTGCGGATGTTTCACAAACTTTATCGGAAGTGGAGCAGGTGAACCTCCATGAAGGTATGGATGTGTCTGAAAATGAGGTACGCCCCTAAATGGCAATTTCAATAGGGGAACTGATGATTAACCAATGGATTTAGGGTTTTTTTCCTGACATTTCACACAACCCCCATACGTGTAGATACAATTTTCCCTGGTTGAGAACACTGTGAAGGTGCTTCCGGTGCTTCCCCAAGCTGGAAGGGAAGGCCACAGTGGGCTACGATCGCTTCCAGGTCCAGTCGGGGTCCATTTTTTTTCAGCGCGTGATCCATGTATCATGGCTGGTAGCCATTGATGTCTGCCCAAAGCTTGAAAACATCATAAGCATAGGGCCTATAGTCAAAAAGAAGAGCTTCACTTCACCAATACAAAAAGATGTTCTTTGTTTGATAGGCGCAGGACAAAGATCCAGGTGGAAGCCTTCACGAAGTTCAGGCTCGTCTTTTCGGAGATGCACCTGGTTTGCAACCAGTGTTGCTCGATACGCTCTGATCATCTCTGATCGTCCCAGGCTTCGTGGTGCTTTGCGTCGGATCCCCAAATTTCTAAAGCACCCTGCATCGGAGGCACTCGAAGCCACTCGAAGTCACAGCAAGTGGCGGGTTTCTCTCAGGTTCCGCTGGCCAGACTCAGATGCCGATGCTCCCGGAGGTTCGATGGTTCGACGGTTCGACGGTTCGACATGCACCTGAGCTGTTTGACCTGCGATGCACATGCAGGGGGCTGGACCGCGGTCGTTCGCTTGGGCAGCTTAGACCAGGTGCCTAAGAATATCAAGTGTTCGAAACAGGGGGACCAGGGCGAGGGATGGCACTTTGCGATTGACACTTTGTGATTGATCGTGATTGATTTGCTTAGTTTTTTCCTGGGGGGTAAAATCTTGAGAACTTTATACCACAAGTCCTATCACTGCCTGTACAGAAAGGTCGAGCTAGTCGGTGCCCGAGGGCATCTGGAGGCTTGGACAAGCATGCTTTCCGACTAGATACCATGTATGCTTGAGAATGAATTGTTCACGATCTATTTCCAGGAACACATTCTTCGATTCTGGGCATCTTGAAACCAGCTGAGCCCTGAGTGAAATCTCAACATGTCAACGACATCAACGACGATTTGATGGCGGCGTTTGCATTGAGGAAATCGAAGAGACCGAGGACCTCGACGAGGTGCCACGGTGCCAACCGAGACGAAGTTCTCTAATCGGTACCAGTAGAGTACCGGTAATATGGAGATGCATGGAGTTTCGTGCTTACAGTTTTTTTTGTTAGGCTTAGGTGTCACATGTTTCACATCTTTTTCTGCCGTCATTTGCTGGAACTTTTGATGCAGTTCTGAGATGCCAGGATTGGGACTTCGAAGTGGATTTGGAGCAGAAGAAAGAGGACACAGCTTTTAGACAAAGGAGGGCTGCCACAGCCCATGGCCCTCTCAATGTATATAGAGACACGGAATTTTGAGGGTCTGCTTTAGTTCAGGCCTCTTTGCAGCATGGTGCATGAATCACATCCATAGAATCCATAGAATCCATAGAATCCATAGATTAAGCTGTCCATTGGTTGATCTTTCAGCCCTTGCTGTTTAGGCGTCAGGCGGCGTCAGGATTTGTATCTGAATGTTGGCATCGTTGGCAGGAAGCGCGTGAGCAACATCAGCTTTCTCTTCGCTCGGGTCGCCACTTAGCAGCACAATGTGCAACAATGGCAGTGGGCACATTCTTCTCATAGCTACTTTTTACATAGTTTTTGTGAGTTTGGAATAGTTTGGATCATTGATGATAACTTGGACACTACCACTTACAGTTTTGAAATTGATCCTGGAATTTTTGTGGTTTCCAGGAAGCGTTTGAAACCACTTGATGTTCGGAGGGCTGTTGGCTGAGGACAGGCTGGTCACGAACCTGTGATGCTGATGCCTATCATGCAGTGGCTCTTCCCACCTCATTGCAGCGCTTCTGAAAACGATGAGATCAGTTCCTTGGTCCAGAGTGGTTGGGATATGTTGGGATGATGATCACTACTGGACTATTGGGGCATATTGGGGCCATGAATTTGACCTTAAGATCAGTGCGACGATTTGTACTGGTTGTTTTCTGATTGGGGTTGGTTTACCATGGATTCAGGTAGATGCAATGTCTAGATGTGAGTTGCCTAAGACATTGCGCATCTTTGTGCAGGCATTCGCGCAGGCAGAGCAGTGTATGATGGTCTCTATGTCGCGTGCCTCTCAGTAGCCACCTCGCCTGACCATGAAAGATATTGACATCCTATCTGGGGCCAAAAGATGCCGAATCCAAGTGGCTTGCGCTTGAGGACTGTACCTTTGGCCGTGGTGGCTATAGCCGAGAAATCCTTTCGCGTTTGAGCCAGGCCAACTGCGACCCCCTGACAATTCCGTCGAGTTGACGGCAACTTGCTATCATCATAAGAAGGAACATTGGCATCAAGTGCTTGATTTTGAAGACCTCTTGCACGTGCCAGAATGCTCAACTGCTGGCACTGGACATCGACCCAACCTGCAAGGGTCTAGGCCAGGTGGAAGTTCAAGCAGAACTGTGTTGGGACCATGAGTCCCCATGTATTGGAGCTGCCAGCAGGTCGTGTTCTGGAGAAGGAGGATTCGAGGCCTTAAGATTTTGACATTGTGGATATAGAACTGGGCCATGATGGACCATCCCATTTTTTAGTGCAGGTTCAGTGACAGGAAGAAAGAAGCTCAGCACAAGCAAATTCAAATCAGCTTGAATGCCTCAGAGGTTTCGCTTTCTGCAAAGGCCATATGCAGCTGGATTCTCAGTGACACTCAGCTGGTGACTGGAGGTTTGGTTGATGCCTGTTGATGCGATTGGATGCCTAGGAATTGCCTGAAGCCCTAGAGGAGCTTGGCTCGGAGGCGAGGTGGACCTTTTTTGCAAATCATTTTCAAAATTGAGATTTGGTTGTGTATGTTGTGTATGTTGTGTCATGTTGTGCCACAGCGTCACCATTCTCCCTGAAGATGAATCAAACTGGTAGATCTTGTTTCAGAAGCGCTAAGTTTTGGATGTTTTCAAGGGTCCCTTGATTTCCCTTGTTTTTTTAGGATATGCCCAATATTTGTATCTTTCCACCTGAGTTCACACAGGATTTTGTTGGAACGTTCCAGGCGATCTCCCAGCAGCCTCAAGGGATTGTGTCCGGGACTTCGATGCACCGATGGAAGTGAACAGATACCGGACACGGATCTGTGTAGGATCTGTTGAGACTAAGGTTTGATGTGGGAATTTGCAGCGTTCAGCGTGTCACTCAGTGAATGTCGGATTCACAAGGCTTCGTTCGAGGCTTCGTTCGAGGCTCATTCGAAGTGTTTTGCCACCCAAGGGTGGATGATCGCAGTCGTGGCTTTTCCCTCCAGAACTTGGACAAGTACCCGGACACCACTTGCAGCCGATCGGAGTTGGTGATGTGACTGATCGTTACATGTTTGGTTTGTTTTATATGATATAAAACACATATATCAAATTTATATGTTTATTCCGTTCCCGTTTTGGTAAAACTTCAGGTCGCCCGGCTGCAGGAAACCCGGATGGACTTGAGAATGAACTCCAAGACTGGTCTGTCAGCAGCAGAGTGGCTGCAGGCCGTTGCTGCGACATGGTGCAGCTGATGCGTTGCAGCCGTTGCAGCCGTGACTTGTTGGAAGGAAGCCACGGTGGAGGAGGTCGCCTGGGTCTTGCGAGAATATGGTCCTGATTATCAGGAGCGGAAGGGTGGCAGTTTTATAACAACCTAAGGATATTAAGTTTGTTGGCCCATCATCCAATTCTGGGACATCCTGGATGGTGAAAGGTGCCAAACATTCTATGACTGGGACGATGATCTCATCTGGCTCAGACTTATTGGCAGCAATCAGGTAACATTTCCATTTTCCGCTGTGAATCTTGCAGGACAGTATCCATGCAGAAAGGTTGGCTCAGGAGCGGACTGAGTTCTTGCTTGCAGGTGCCATTTGCTGCATGCACACTTGCAGATGTGGCAGTCGAATCGCAGGTCATAGTGGATGACCAGGAAGAGAGCCCACCTGGCATGCTACGACAGCTTCTACTCATGTGCAGAGTTTAAAATTTGGAAAGCCCCCAAGCAAGTTTGGTCCGCTTTACGGCAATAGCTTTGAGCATGATTTTGGTCTGAAAATTTGTCCAAAGTTGGTCGGATGCTTCCAGCTGAAAACATTCTGAATCTTGGCCACTTCGCCAGATGGTCCATTCGAGTCCATGTCCCGTTTCGCGGAACTCATTGGCCGTTCGCTGTCGGTACGTTGCTCGGGTGGTTGTACCAGCAGCAGCGAGCAGCGGTGGCTCGGTGGCGGCCAGTGTCGTGTCAGCGAGGTTGGAGATGAGCCCTTTCAGCATACCTATGCAGGCCCAGATCAGAAATCTGAGATGAACAACTGGCTGAATTTCAGGCGAGAAGTCAAAAATAGACTAAACATGACCAAATGACCAAATGACCAAAGGATAATGATAATGAATTTCAGGTACTGCACTTATCTGCACTTACTGATACATCTTCAGCTGGGCATTCTGTCAAAGCTTTCTACTCTTGGAACCTGGCCGTTTTCACTCTTGCTGCGACTCAGCTGCTAGGCAGGGCACATCCTGCTCGGTTGACCCTTCAGGCCGCACGATTGTGCCATTGTGTTCAGTGATGGTGGGCCAAGCGTGTGAACTTCTTTGTGTCCAATGAAGAATGAATAGACACGGAAGCATGATGGAATATGCGAATACATTCTGAATAGAATAAAAATATGAAGCGGGATATACCTGGATGTATCTATCTATCTATCTAGCTAGCTAGCTATCTAGCTATCTAGCTATCTATCTATCTGTACTGTGTATATTATATATATAATACATACATAATCTCTATCTCCCTGACTCTCTACATATATTTATATACATATAATTACATATATATATAATGCATACATCTAGAATATATATGTATATATGTATATATGTCTCCATTTTGTTCAATCACATCTCTGGACCTAAACCCATAAACGTGCACAGCGTTGCGCAGCTGCGTCCACGAGGCCTTCCGCCTCTTCCTCAACTGCGAGATTGAGCAGCTGCAAGAAGGCCTGTCCAGATCCTCATTAGATTGCCGTTTGGAGAACATTAGGCAAGATATACATTATGCAACTTCACACATGTTATATACATATACATGTTATATATGTCATTATAGTTCTGGTAAATATGTATTATTTTTAGTTTATAAGGGCAATTTGACAAAGTAAAGACCAGAGATTTTTAGTTTTTCCGGGTGCAGCAGGTATGGGCAGAGCTTTCGAGGTTTTGGCCATGAATGGCCGCTGTGTTATTACCACCTTCAAGCGAAAAGAGGCGAGAAGCGGATTGGGCGGGTACAAACGCAGAGCGTAGCGAGTTCTGGTTTCCCAATCTTGCATCTCTTTGGGCAGACATCCCTAGAACTGGGAAGATCACCCCAAACAACTTTCAAAGCAGGTTCACTTGGCGCGGGAAAGACAACAACCCGGGTCACAATGATGTTCTACATCATTCTGCCGTTCTTGGGTGATATCTGGTGGTCAAGAACGGACGTGTTCAGGCAATGGTGGTGGAACATTTTGTTTGTCAAATGGAAGATCCGGATCCGGAGACGGTTCCTGGCTCAGGAACCTTTTCCAATTGGACGGGTTGGTTCGTGAATATGGGTGAACATATGCACCATTGGAACCCCCAGGGTGACCAGGACCACACCCCAGCCTTGACTGACCATGTCTCTCCGCTCATGTGTTATTTTTTCTGTGTCCACTGCAAGAGTAGGATCTGAGCTCCAAAGACTAAGGTGGCGCGTATCTCCAAGAAGAGGTGCAGTTGAAGTCAGATTCGGCACACTTTCCTGTTCATGCTGCCGCGAAAGACGGGTGGGACTTGGGTGCCTACAAGTTATCTCAGACATTGGCAGGCCTATCCCTTGCATTCCATTGCCCGATTGCGGGAACCTACTGAGTTTAATTTTTTCTGGAGCTTAACCGTTTCTGACCATTGAATTTAAGCTGCTCAACAAATCAGGGTCCAATGTGTCTAATCAATGCTATATGCAGAAACGTGTTGACACTGAAACACACCCTGCAGACGGCTGGTGGAGCTCTATCCCCTCGCTGGGTGTGGATGCCCAGGGCTGCCATTCTCAGCTGTCCCTTCTATCGCTGTCACATCAACCCATAGCCCAAGTGCCTGCCAGGACTGATTTGGACTATGCTGTGCGACTTTTGGCAAACCCACTCAAGCAGAAATCCCAGACATCTTCGGTGTCACGTCAAATGCTTTTCTTCGCCTTTTAGCCTTTTTGTATGTTTTTGATGTTGTTTTTCGTTCCATTGGCAGTCCATGTCACAGGGCCGCCTATGGGGAGGTGCAGCAGAATATCCGAGCTCGATCAGGTGCGTTGCACCGAAAGCCGCCAGGCCGAGAGCGAAACACTGCAGTGCCTGCAGGCTCCATGTACATCCTGGAGAAAGTTCCGCGAACCTGCCCCCGGGTGAAAGTCAAGCCCAGGACACATGGCAGATCCCAAGGAACATATCTGAGATCCATAGAATCTCTTGGCTAGTGCTGAATGTTGATTCCTGATGCGTCATTGGATATTCCAAAGCAACGGTGCCTCTGAATGCGAAAAGCGGCAGCTTGAAATGGAAAGGCTCCAAATTTTGTTGATTCCAAATCACCACTTGAATTGGGGAAACCAATTTTGAAATCTGCAACCTGGGACTGGTCCGTGCAGGAAGCTCCAGAATCGCTTCAAGCAGCCTGTGAGCAATCCAATTTCGCCACAAGATTCTGAAGAGCAATGAATTTTTCCAATGGCTGTGGACATGACTGGAGATCTTGTGGAGATGCATAAATGGGAGAAATAGCGGAAGCATAGAAACCCAAACAAACTACCAGCTGGCTTTTTATACCAGTCAAGGCTGCAAACTTAACATGTCCACGGCAAAATGTGTGCTCAGGGGCACCTCAAAGCTTGGCAACAGCCAATTCTTGGTGCTTGATGACTTGATGACTCGACTCGATGGCTTTGGGTTTCTTTTGTAGAGGGCCTGGCTGAAATGGCTGTTTCTTTGGATCATCTTTGAGCACGTGAGTGGCCGGACATTGGGACATTGAGGACCCCCAAATGACCAGGATGGATAGACCATCTGGTGATGTGTTACAAGTGTTGTCCCATCAACCTGTATCATCCTGCAATATCTGAATATTTGTAGCTTCCTGACAACGGAAACAGCTAGGCCGCCCCCCAGGAGTCAGAGAACCAACGCGTTATGAAAGCAGAGTGGCAGAGTCAGGGCGCAACTTTAGCAGTAGTCAAACCATGCCATTCCCTTGACGAACTGAGACTGGGGTGAGGAAAGTTGTCACCATGAGGCATTTTTCAGTGCCTAGTGCCTATAATAGGATGGCGAAGTCGTGAAGCCTTTTAAGCCTTTTCCACAGGAAATGCTGCCCAACATATCAACCTTCATGCGGGTGACACTTCACTGACTGTTGAACAATCCAGTTGCGGGTCACGTCTCAATGGGCAGGTGACCCTACCATGGGCCTGGACCTCGGTTTCCACTTGCGATCATTTCCTGCTCCCATTTCCCATCATTTCAACAGTGGCAGCAGAGTGTGGCGAAGGTCCAAATGCAAAGAGGACTATTTGCAAGTTCTGGGAGCAGGCCGTTTGCAGACTTGAGACGTCTTAAGACCGCGTTGAAACGCATGGGTATGGGTCAAGAATTATATACCTACCTAAGCTGATCAGCCAATATTACACTTTGCATTTCATTTTAGTTTAAATCGTCAGCTATCTTCATATCTTCATTCTTGTCACCCTTTTCGAATTCCCTTAGTTGCCTTAGTTTGACTTTGGTCTCTCCTGAGCCAATGTGCAGGGCATATGCAAGAGGGGCTTAGAGTGCACCTTCGCCCATGGAGTGGAGGACATGCAGGTGTGGGATGCTAGACACGAGTTCCTATTTCAACCATCTTAAACTTTGAGTTGAACACCCCCCTTCTGGGTTTCTGTCGGGTTCACTTGCCGTGGCAACAGGTGGATGTCCAAGAAAACTTGTTTGAAGACTTGGCTCCAGCGCAACTTCCAGGTGCAGTGGGTGTAGCAAAAGCCTTGATATACCAAACTTTCGTCGCATTTCGTCGCGAGATAGCTGCTACGGATGACTCACTGTGCTGAAGGAAGCCCTTCTGCTGGAACCAAGCGGACAATCTGCAAGTTCTGGGAAGAGGCCTGATGTTTCTTCTCGATCGGCAGCTGAACATGTTGAGATTGATTCGAGTTTGGACATATTTCAGGGACCACTGGGGCCACTCAGCCACTCTTTGCACGCCAGGGTGCCTGCACAAAGGGTGAAGCTTGCACTTTCGCCCATGGTCCAGAAGAGATTGGCGCACTGCTCCCAGATCAGGGTATGGTGGCCAGCCGTCAGTGCCAGCAAACGCTGGAAATCAGGCGCCGATTCCAGTGGCCTTCGAACCAGTTCTTCAAGGAGCCGTGCACGTTTGATCCACGGATCGGTGCAGGTGATCTCTTAGGACTTGGGGTTTTCATCTTCTCATGGTATGAGCCCACCATTCCGCACGATGGTTTCTTGATTCAATTTGTTGAGGGGGCAATGACAAACTGTAACCCTGGCCTGCACCATGCGTACTTTAATATATTTTTCATTTTGGATTATCTAAATTTCATTTCAACCTCTGATACTTCTGGACGACACTTCGGAATAGTGGAATCCAGGGTCAATAAGGTTTATGAAACTTCACAAGATATATGACATAGCGATCTTTGAAACTGAGAGTGTAACGGCGTGAGAGCTGTTGCAAAGCAAAAGCAATAAACGAAAATGAACCGGTAGACATGAAGATGAATTCAGATTGGATTCTGAATCCTTGTGGGAACAGTTTGGGTGCGAAACTGTTTGGGTTCAAATCCAGATGAGGGATGTGCTTGAATTCAAGATCGTTTCGTGGGAAGGCCTTGGGCTCCACATGTTTCGGGAAGAAATCGGCTGATTGTTTCGTTCCTCTCCAGAATTAAATGAACATTGTAACAATTGTATACAATTGTAACATGTTCGATCATTTTCAAACGAGGTTGGAATCTCAGGAATCTGTGTGAAACCAGGCCGTGAGTCGAATGCTTCGAACCTCCGCCGGTAGGACTTGGAGCGCCGGTAGGACTTGGAGCTATTGGAAAGGCTCCTCCCATCGTCAGCACTGCTCCCGTTGTTTCCGTGCACGTCAAGCGAACCATTTGCAAATTCTGGGAGCAGGCGAGGTAAACCAGTTGTTTGACAGACGTCGTTTCACAATGTTTCAGTGTCATTCCAATATTCAGACGCGGCCGGTGCTTTTTGATGTGTCTTGTGGTACAGGTGGTCAGGATTTGACCTTTTCTGTTTGGCTCACAAGTTGTCATGCTGACTGCAGGGTACGTGCACCAGAGGAGGGGAGTGCACGTGGGCGCATGGTGAAGAAGAGCTAGGTGTTCGATGGCCCCAGTGGATATGAACAGTGCAGGTGGAAAGCTGTGATTTTCCTGCCATTTCGCTCACTAGCTTCAAGGAGCATTGCAGCCCGAAGCTTTCCGAAGGATGGAACAAAGCAAGAAGATCAGAGAAACGCACATCTTCAGCCAAGGCCCCGGTTGTCATGGAGCCCATGGAAAAAAGCCGTCCCGCTCTCAACGTGGTCAACATGATTAACATATATTAGTTTGAACTATTAAAATGGTCAATGTGGTCCAACGACATGTTTTCAGGGCGGGTCTTGTGATGGCATGGCACTGAGGTCCTGTACCCAAACAGATGCAGCCGATCTTCTCGGCCAATGTCCCAGCCACCACCGGCTATGTTCCAGCGGGGAAAAGTGGCAAGGCGCTGATGTTTCTGTTGCGGGAGAGCACTCAGCTGCCATGGCTCTTTCCATCGTTTTCTTATTATTTTTTGTACCGTTTTGATCCATTTTGTACCTAACTTTTTTCTGTGGATCTCGTGATGTTCCAGGGGGTGATTGGAAAGAGTGGCGACCTTGGAGACTTGCTGTGATGAATCAAATCACAACCTGATGCAGATACCGTTCCCAAATGGAGAAACTGAGGTGTCCACGGTCAAAAGACGGTCTTCCAAGCCAGTCCCATTGAGCGATTCGATGACCACCGATTCATGCCTTTTGAGGCTGGGCAACTTCTAGATACTTCTAGACTCGAAAGATATGAGTCAGAGATGACCTGACCTGAGGCTCCCAAGGGTAAAGGTCATCAAGGCAAAGGAAAAGATATTGGAAGTCCTTTGGGAAGCCCCTTGGGAAGTCCCATTGGTGCTGGCCTCAGTTTCTCTGATCTGAGCCATGAGCAGATGTCCATCAGCAGCCAAAGGGCTTTCCATGCCTTAAATAATGCATAAGAATGAATAAGAAAAATCTATCTAGATATGTACAATATTATAATATATATGTATGTATACGTATAATTACATATATATAATTATATAATATATATACTGTATATATACTGTATATATTTATCACTTGGGGATAGTTGGGGTTTGAGTTTCTACCACTCGTTTTCATCCGCGAGGCTTCCCTGGAGGCAAGGGTGCTGAGCAGCCTCTCAAAAAGACCATCTGCAAGTTCTGGCTGGAGGCGCATTTGGGGCATCATTTTTGGGTAAAAACACCGAATTCTAAATTCTGAAGCCCAAGTTGGTCGGAGGGACAAGCCTTGTTTTGGGCAGTTGTGAGCTGCAGGGCCAGTGCACACGTGGTCAAGACTGCACATGGGCGCATGGAGTGGAGGACCTGGCAGTTTGTCTTGCAGATGCTTGGGGATTTTACGGATCGCCAGTGCTAAAATCCTGGCTCAAAGACTCGAAGTGAACACCAACCTTGGCAGAATCTGCAGCAATGCAACCATGGTGGTCCCCTGTTTCATGATGCATTATGATAGGAAAACACAAGGCTGTGTTTGAAGCTGTTGCAACACACCCCTTGAGCATTCTTGTCAAGTATCAGTCTCTCCAGACAAACCAACTTCAAAAATGCAAGTGCACAGTGCACTCATCTTTGAACCAACCAGTGACACCTTTAAGACTTTCATCAATTTCAAACACCCAAATTCGCATCACATAGGGTGAATCGTAGAGCAACTCAAAGCCTGGAGCTATGCTCGCTGATGTGCTCAACGCTGGAGGGCCGTGCTGCCTTGCTGCGGGTGATGACCAGGAGAGCCCACAGCATTGGAAATATTGGAAGATGTAGATCTTCATCAGTACAACATCAAATCAAAATCTAGTCTTTGACAACAATTAAAGCTTAAGGACTTTGGGTCGTGATTTGCCAAGTCTGTGAGAGTTTGGTTGAATGCTAAGGCTTCGACCAAAGAATGTCAAAGCTTGGCGCTCCCTAGCGTCGGTCCATTTGAAGATCAGCCGGCAGCCGATCCGCCAACGGTCACGGGCCAGACACAAGCGGCTGGCCGCAGCAGCTGGCCGCCGCGCACTGCACTTGGCACCAGAGGCAGGTACTGCTGCCACGTGGGAGTTCCACGAGCGAGTTCATGATGAGTCCCCAAATGAAGTAATAGTTGGGCAACTACTTAACTGCTCAACTTGAAGAAACTGCCATACGTCACATGCTCATGTTTTCTTCACAGTTTGGTACAGAACAGCGCCACAATGCCTTCAGTATTCTTTTCAACGCCTGGGGCCTTGGTAGGAACGCCTGCGGCTGCTGCGGCGCCTCACACGCCGTTGCCCCGGACATCCCATGGCCTTCCTCCGAACTGCAGAGGTTTTGGTCCAGTTGGGCGCTGAAGAAACCGACGAAACCGACGAAATGGAGACGTGGAGGGATGAAGCTGCCGATGCGTTGCGGCGACACCTGGACCCTGGGAGCTTGGTGGTTGCAGTTGGGGGGAAAGCGATTAGCATGATTTGGCATGGTTAGCTGAACAGCTGATGAACTTCTGATTGCAGGATCCATCCTTTCCCCAAACCGGGCAGATCAAAGATTTTTCCCAGGACATTGCTGAAGGTCTCCGTGGCACCGGTCAAAACGAGCGGAAGCTACGCATTGAGTTGGCCAAGCACCTGCTGTGCGTCGTCACCGGCGAAACACCGGAGGTCATCTCCAAGGAGCCGCATTGAGATCGAAGAATATCCGAGAATGGCATAAGTCAATAGAAGTCATGTAAAGTCACGTAACATCATTTTTTATACTCAACTTGCAGGTCTCTTCATTTCGAGTCTGTTTGAGACATTTTTAAGATCAAATCGGATGTTGTTTGGATGTTGGAAGGACTACGTCTCGAATTTGTTCGATCGCTTTTCCAAAACCTTCGAGCGAAGCCTGGACAATTTGAACTACCAGGTTCCGCAGCTGATAATGCAGGTGGGGCCACGGTGGGGCTGGACATGACCGGACTTGTGGTGACGAACCTTGTTGTTTCCTGGGACGTCCAAGCAGTTGAACCCTAGCCTCAGAGACATTCGTGAGGCACTTCGTTGGACTTGGTGGGACTTTGGGTGTGAGCCCAGTCCACATCTTCGTGCATTGGATCTTGGAGCTGGAAACTTTGCTGCATGTTTTGATAGCTTTCTTTTTGGAATTTCGTGTTGGCTGACCGTGTTTTTAGGTGACCCTATCCCTGTCCCAATGTGTCGTTGAGCAACGGCATGCAACGGCCATATCTTCCAACAGGCACTGGTCTCTTGGGCGAGCAGCTGCGAGACTGGGCTCCCCGAGCTTTCCTGGAGGGGTTGGACTTGTCTGCAGCCATGCTCCAGCAGGCCGACCACATCCAACAAAAACATCATTTGTCTGAGAATGCCTATAGTCACTATAGCCCATGATGTTTTCCTTGATTTTTTGAACATTGGTGATTCATGCATCACCAAGGTCTTCCTAGCATTTTTTTGGCAGAATCAGGTCAAATAGTCATGCGCCCTTTCTCCAGGCAGAGAAGAAGGGTTGCTACGACCTTTTGCATCACAAAGATATTTGTGACTTCTTGGAGGCGCCATGAGTCAATCCAAATACTGTAATGTGGTGAGGGGACTGAGATAATGCATCTCCTTTCATTGTGTTAGGATGGGCTACAAACATATTTAACCGATATAACCGACAACTCGCTTAGCAAGACTGTATGAAATGCAGGATCTGGATCCAAATCAACTGAAGGATCCAGGAAATTTCACGAGCGCATATCCATCAGGCTGCGGACGAAGAAATCCACTACGATTTGATCACCGCAGCGGATGTCTTTGTTTATGTTGCTTGGCATTGGCGCATGGCTAGATACCGACAGGTTCCATCTCAGAGCAGCAGATTTTGATGTGTGCGAAGCCTCTTCCAATGTTAATATATGTTCCACCATGATTTTCCAGCAAAAAGAATATCCAGTTTCCAAGTTTTGATTTGCTTCCCAGCACCACGGCACCATGGCACCATGGCACCATGCCCCTGTTTGTCGTTGCAGGTGACCGCTTTGGAGCCGATCCTTCGCCAGGCCTTGCGGCGCTTGGCGCCGCAGGGGCTGTTGGTCTTCTCGGTGGAGCAACCGCAGCAGTGCGAGAGCTTTCGCCTGGAGGTTCCAATGGGAAGCTGCAGCTTGTGTCATCAGGCTGTTAGTTGATGTAGTTGGGGGATACCCCAATAAATTCCAGTTAGTAGATTAGAATTAGATGGAAAAGATGATTCAACAAAGACTGTTTTGTTGATCATGTTGATCCGAAGAAAAAGGATTGTCAATGATGATGCACTTTTGTTCTTGGAAAAGAGACCTCTCTACTCTCATTGTAGAGGATTTCCATATCGCCAGAGTTACCCCACTGGGTGTTTTGTGAACCTGAGATGGAATATTGTGTAGCCCTTGACAATCATTGGGGATGATCATTTGAATACTCGGTAAGGAAGTGAACACATTTACGTGTACATCTTGGGCTGAAACTTTCAGACATCGATCCATGTTCGATCCATGTTCCAACGTGGCAGCAAGACCTGGGCAGGCCAGTGGCCGCGTTGCGCACAGCGCTGCTTATGTGGTGGGTCTCGCTGCAGCTGTGGGCTTTCAGGTTGGACCTCGGATGCGACTCAGACGGAGTGGTTGTGGATACTTTTGGGCATTGTGTGACCTCAAAAAAGGAGAGCCATGGAGAGCATCTTTATGAAAAGATCAGATACCGAAAGATCCTGAAAGTGCAAACCAGCAATAAACTCATCAGTCGAGTGTTTTCTTCTAATTGATTCAATCGACGGTGGAGTGTGTCAGATAGATTTTGCAGCCTCACTGAAGCAACAGGTGCTGCGACAACACGATTGTGAGCTCCGATCTGAGCGCGGACGGCCGGTGGCCGGACATATTTTTGTCCTTGGCAAAGCGACTGCTGACGATGAGAAGAAACGAAGCGGGAAGGTGAAGTGGATCTTGCACCCAGGGAACTCTTTGATGTGCATTCTGTTAAACAATGCATGGGTCATCATGGTCTAGGTATTTTACTTATCTGATTTGGAAACCATGGAAACCTAGACCGATGCTGTGTCATGGACTTGCAATAAGAATCCTTGGTTCTCGTTCTTGAACGAAGGACCAAGCTGTTCCTGATCATGTGGCACTGGTTGGCATACCAAGTGGTTCTGGTCTCGGAATTGGTGCTGGATTGCTGCTGTTGAGCTTGCATTCGCAATTTTCGATTCCAACTCTCGACCTAGAGTTAATGACAGGGGATACTGAAGCTTGCTGCAAGCCCCAGCTTGCACATGACATTCTTCATCAGTTGCCCCACCTATCACTTGCTTAATAGCATGGCTCTCTTTGCGAGGCCCACCGATGGCAATGGGACCTACTGAGGCCAGCTGTCATAGATTTGCGTGGTCTGTGAGATATCCATTGATATCCATTGATTTCCACTCGCTTTTGACCAAACTTGAACTTGAACTCAGCGTTTGGTCCGAGGTGCGGAGGACGATTTGCAAGTTCTGGCAACAGGGAAAGTGTACTCAGGCGCTGAATGCATTGCCAACGGCATTGCTGAATTTGCCTTGCTGGATTTCATCCGATGCACCTGTGGTTCTTGTGACTTCCGTTCATCACCTTGCGGACCTTGCGCGGCCAGGCTGCAGGACAATGTACCTGGGCCCATGGAGAATGGGAAATTGGCACACCAGTTGGCGCGGTGTCAAAGCCTCAACGAATCCCATGACGAGCATGCATTTATATACTGTATGATATATGTTATCTGTGTTTTTTTTTTGAATTGTACTTTTTTGGAAAGCGCCTCACAACTTTCTCAGTCACATGACATTTCACTACCGTTTTGTTGCCAGTTGCAGTCATGGCAGTCATGAAAAATCATGACAGTCATGGCAGTCATGCATACAATGGAACATGCCTGGCATTTTGCGAAAGAGTACATGTGAGCTGCAACGGTTCAAATACCGAGGTCCAATAAAGGTGGCTACCAAGGCGGTTCCGTCTTTAAGCGGCCACGCTTGGTCCATTAAAGCGGCCAGCATCCTCAGTGCTTGTTGTTTTTGAAGATTGAGTACCTCAAATCCACATGGCCAATAGAAAGGATTGGGAAGCCCCGAACCAATTTTGGTTACCCGAAATACTCCATGTTGTAATTGGTTTATCTTTGGAATTGGTTTGATATCATGGAGCCAATGGGGAACATGATGGGACGGGGCAAGACCTAACTTTACCCATGTTCACCAGGATATGGATCCATAGAACATATTGACATGGGTCAAGATCATGAACTCCCAAGAAACACATCATTTAGCCCCTAGATATCAAATTACATAAACATATCATGGGAGTGGCCCCATTTTTGGAGTGGCCCCATGGCCCAACGAGGCTTGAAGCTCCACCAGATACGCTGTTGGAGCAGCCGGCCGTGCAAAAAGTCGTCGCCTTGTGAGCTGCGGGGCTTTAGCTGGCCGGGAATATCGGGATACCCGTGGTCAGCTGAACTTGAAGTTGCTGGAGCTTTTGAACAGGCTGAAGATGTCTGGATTCTTGACGGTTTCCTTGTTTGATGTGGTTGTTGTGATTTTGACTCTGTGAATTTGTTTGACTTTGCGGCTGTCAGACTGACGACACCACTTGGTCTAGTGATCGACCAGCCAACACCAATCAAACAAGCTTTCAGAGAGCCCGCATCAGGAAATCAAACTGTGAGGGTAGCTTTAATTCTTGGACGTAGTAGCCTCGGAGAAAAGTCGTTGTACATACAGCTTAAAAAACACATTCGATCCTGGTGACAAATACTGTAGAACTAGCATGCACAATTTGGAGAAAGTATCTTTGCGCTGGTTGCTGAACTTTAGCCACATCACTGCTCACCACCACACATACAGACGGCATCCCTGCCATTCCCACTCTTGAGATCGCCATGGTCCGCCGAAAGCGCAGACGATGTGCGGGCATATCAGTGGGGAAACCAAGTTTGAAGATATGATGCAACACGACGCAGCTGTCTCAATCTTTGAGGATCTTGATCTTAGAATAACCCAATAATGGGTCTGATAATAGGGTTTATGATGGTTTATGCCCCTGATTCTGGTGGTTTTCAAGCATCAAACATTTCAGAATGCAACTGGGAGGCCCTGGTGACTGGAGCTGCCCTCAAGAGCTGCCATGCCTGGATCAATGCGACGCCACAGGCATATGCTGCACACGCGGCGCGGGTGACGCAAACTGTGGAGAAGGGCAGGTCGGTTCATGGCAACTTGGATTGAAAGCTTAAAGAATCATTTTTTCTTGCATGTACCATGCAGATTTCTATAGATTTCTAAGGGCGAGATAAGATTGCCGCTTTCTTGACTGTTGCGAGCAACAATACAATGAGCAACAATCTCAAATCTGTCAAGGTGGCTCTCTGAGCTCCATCACAAGACTCGCTGTGGGGGAGTCCCAAGACAGCAAGGATGGTCTCATCCCATCCTCAACTTTCTCACCATTGCTGCTGGCTGCGGCCACCGGGATTTTCACAGGTGCCATCGTCGTGGCCCTGAATGACTTTGTTCATTTGCTTCAAGATTTTCTTCTGGAACTCCCCGGCGGCTTAGCAGCTGTGGCTCCAGTGCTCTCAGCATCACTGGTGAGTTTACTGCTTTTCCTCCGTGGTCCACAGGGTTTGTCCGGCGACTCCGAGTTGGCCCAGCTGAAGGCCAGCGGTGGCGTCCCCTCAGCCGATGCCTCCGAGGCGCCCTTGCGGGCGCTGGCCGCAGGGCTGACGTTGGCCGGAGGCAATTCCCTGGGCCCGGAAAGTCCCAGTGTGGAGATCGGTGCCAATGTCGCAGCGAATCTCGCAGGAGCCCAAACTCCAAAGGAGTCGGAGGTGGACAAAGCTTTTCGAAATAACTTGTTGGCTGCTGGCTGTGCCAGTGGCATTGCCGCAGGCTTCAATGCTCCAGTGGCAGGGCTTTTCTTTGCTTTGGAGTCGGTGCAATCAAATTATGGTCCTGAAGAAGCTCGGGAACGAGGTCCTCCTATGCAGCTACTAGCAGCTGTGTTAGCTGCAACTGTTTCACAACTGGGTCTCGGATCGAGTCCGGCGGTGGATTTGGAATTTTTCGGCTGGGTACCTGCACGGTCCCTTTGGGAACTGCCATTTTTCATTCTACTTGGACTGCTGTGTGGGCTTGTGGCCGCAGCTTTGCGTTACATGCGGCAGCTTGGGAAGAAGACCTTCGCAGCGGCGGAAGACGCCGGCTGCCCAAAGTTCCTTTTCCCGATTGTGGCAGGCATCATTGTAGCCATAGTGACCTTTAGTGACAGCATGAAGCTCAGTGTATTGCTGTTGTGAGTGAAACGGAAACAGTGTGGGAACTGCAAGAATCTGCAGCACGAAAGGCATTCTGCAGTGCAAAACTCTAGAGAATGTGATTGTTCCCATGAGGCACCAAAGAAGTGCTTTACAAGGGCTTTGCAAATGTCAACCTGGTTTTAGACTATGCTGATGGTGGAAAGCAGCCACCATCCCTCACAGGCAGGGTTTAGCCCAACGATGTCGGAGCGAGTAAGTCAATAGATGATCGAAGGAAGTTTGGAAGTCAAACTTCCGACAATATTATATGGAGAGATGAAAAAGCAGTCAGCAGGGAGAAGAGTCAGAAGAGAAAAGATCAGAAGAAAGAAGATGCAGGTGCGCGAAAAGGTAGGAAAGTCGCGAAACACTGTGTTTTTTCGTGGTTTTGTGGCTCCGGAGGGTTGAAAAGTAGGCTCGCTAAAGCGGCGGGTGCGGAGACATCTGGGAAGATGAGAGATGAAAAGTTGCACGCCGTTGTGGCGCGAAGCACATTTGGAAGTAAAATGTGTTAAAAACTGATGGGTTCGGACCACTTTTGGAAGTTGAGATGTTGAAAAAGCGCACGCCGTTGTGGCGCGAAGCGCATTTCGAAGTGAAAATGTACCAAACACCACATGTTCGCGCCACTTTTGGAGGTTCAGATGTCGAAAAAGTGCACGCCGTTGTGGCGCGAAGCACATTTCGAAGTCAAAATGTTAAAAACACCAGGGGTTCGGACCACTTTTGGAGGTTCAGATGTCGCTTCGCTTCACTACACTACACTACACTACGCTCCACTACACTACACTACATTGCACAACACTACACAACTACACAACTACACTCCACTACACTCCACTACACTAAATTACACTACACTACACTACATTACACTACACTACACTCCACTACACACACTACATTACACTACACTGCACTACCTTCCACTACACTTCACTACATTACACTACACTCCACTACACTACAAGTACAACTACACAACTACACTCCACTACAATACACTCCACTACACTCCACTACACTAAATTACACTACACTACACTACATTACACTACACTACACTCCACTACACTACACTACATTACACTACACTACCTTCCACTACACTTTACTACATTACACTACACTACACTCCACTACACACTACAACTACAACTACACAACTACACTCCACTACACTCCACTACACTACACTACATTCCACTACACTAAATTACCCTACATTACACTACACTACACTCCACTACACTACAACTACACTCCACAACACTACCAACTAGACAGATAGACAGGTAGACAAGATAGACAGATAGACAGATAGACAGATAGACAGATAGTAGATAGAGGTAGAGAACAGACATAGACAGGACAGATACAGATAAAGAAGAGAAGAAGAGATAGATAGATAGATAGATAGATAGCTAGATAGCTAGATAGCTAGATAGCTAGATAGCTAGATAGCTAGATAGCTAGATAGGTAGATAGCTAGATAGGTAGATAGGTAGATAGGTGGTAGATGGTAGATAGGTAGATAGGTAGATAGGTAGATAGGTAATTAGTAATTAGATGAAAGAGAGAAAGAGATAGATAGATCGATAGATAGATAGATAGATAGATACATAGAAGATAGGCTGGTAGGTAAGTAGGTAGTCAGAGAAAGAGAGAGAGACAGAGAGGAGACCTCAAGCACCTTTCGGTCCATCAGTGGATTCGCTTTGCCATCCCTGATTCACAACAACCAACCTCTCCTATAGGTTTCCTATTTTTGAAACTTCCGCCACCGCCTTGTGCGGTACTACTGGTAGATGTCAATTGTTTGTGTAGAGGTGCATGGTGGTGGGTTCAACATGTTTGCCTAAAGAAATGAGGAACCAACCTGGCGGACAAACCCTCTCAGGAGATCCACTCCTTCATTTGCTGATCCTGCTGATCTGTAAGATTTTCCTGACGGCAATCTGCCAATCCTCCGGCCAAGTGGGTGGTTTGTTTGCCCCAGCTCTCTTCATGGGAGCCTGCATTGGGGGTCTCTCTGGTCGTGCCTTGCGGGATAACTTCTGGCCATGGGCCATCAATCTGCCGGACTTCGGCCTCGAAAAGGCCTTCTCAGTGCCTGCAACCTATGCCGTGGTGGGCATGGCCGCCTGCCTGGGCTCCATTTGTGGCGTGCCGTTGACGTCGGTGGTGCTGTTGTTGGAGTTGTCCGGGGGCAAGGACTATGGCGTGGTGTTGCCCACGGTGGCAGCCACAGGTGTGGTGGATGGGTGGAGGATATGATAGGAATTGATACAGGGCACGTAGATCCAAATGAGCGATACCCCAAAGCCACAGACAACTTTCTCCTGGTTGCTGGTTCAAAATTATGAGATTTACCCAATCAGTAAGAGGTGTGAATTACGTTGCAGTGCCGACAAAGGAGAGGGGTTTAACACATTGAGCCAACATCTGAGCCAAAGTAACAATGCAGGTGTGGCCGTCTACGTCGAACTCCTGTGCAAGAGTCCTGAAAAGATTTCTGCTTTGCGCGAGAACCTGACAGGTGCATTTTGTCCCCACATACGCGCATTTTCTACAAACACAAAGGTTCATTCGCCACAATTGTGAGATGCATTGACAGCTGGCAGATTGCCAGGAGCTTTCTCCCCGGGAGGTGCCGATGCACCTGCAGAGGCTCCATGAGTGGGATTCCTGAGCTGCCTATCTTCCGTGCAGTTGTGTGAGAATTTTCAGATTGAGATTCTCCATTGTTTTCTTGCGGTTTCAGTTTAGACACTATCTGGCTAGACTCCAACCGTTCTGCATGCTGAGCCAGGCAACCCTGATAGAAGCAGAAGGCCTTCTCCGAAAAACCTTGCAGACATTCCTTCGCAACTTTCTGTGGCTTGCCCGATGCTCTCCCAGCCTCTCTGCGAGGTCCGAAACGGCGCAGTGTGCTGTGTGCAATTCCGCCTGGAAGAGTTGCATCTTGGCTGCGAATTTCAAGACGTAAGCGTACAACCCAAGTGTAAAAACATTGCAGATGTCGCTTTCGCACTTGGGTGCGCAATTCAGCTTGATAGGGCCCCCAACAGCTTTCACCGCCCGCAAGGAGCTTTCACCCGGATCGGACGGAATCTCAGTTGCGAAGCTGAACGGGACAGGTGGAGAGCTCCATATTTATCGATGGTGCACCTCCTGATTGCCGAGGCCGCCACTGTCGTTCCATCGTACCACACCTGGTATATAGATTCAAGACCTTGAACAAAGGAGAGACTGGACATGCCGCACAAACCACATCATATCATAGCTCCACTCTTGAATGTCACCACTGCAATCGGACAGATCAGATGTCCACTGAGTTCTACAAAGCTTTCGCTGGAACCTGAGGTGTTTGCTCCTGGAGGAGGCCCGTGATGAACTTCTTCAGCTGGGTTCCGGAGGATGCTTAGCCGTGGTCGAGGAGATCCTTGATGAGCTCGGAGTCTGACTCTCCTTATGCCGTGTCGGATTTTCGGTTCATCTTCCTCATGTTGGTAGGGCCTTTGGTTTGTTTGTTAATGCTGTGGAAGTGAAAGTGACAGAAGTGTTGTGAACAGTTGATTTGTACGACTGACGGTGCAGGAGTCCAATGAGACGGGTGACGGGAAGAACCGATCGCCGAGAACCCGGAACTCACAGTGCACAGGCAAAATGTCAGCGATCTCTTCACGACTGCAACTGTCGAGAATCTTCTGCAAAGGCAACGGCTTCTCGGAGTCGTATCGCTTGTGGACGTTGACAAAGCTTTGCGCCAAGATTTGAATTGTGAATAGTTCTCGTTTGATTTGTGTGCCTTGAGGCCTCCCACAATCCACAACGATATGTAGAATGTAGAAATGGATTGCAAGGGCAATTAAGGGCAAGATTGCAAGATGGTGCATTTGTTTTGCTTGATGTGAGGCTTTGGGAGCGGAGTGAGGCTCTGCCCAAATCCTTAGCGACATCCAAAAGCTGCGGATCTTGAACCCAACGTTCCAGGAGAGGGCGGAGAGGGTGTATAGATTCACCAACAAGTGGCGATATGACCGACAATGGCGATATATGTATTGGTTAGCCAGCAATACTTGACCAACAACTAGGGGGATTGGCCTTGGTTTTGCAGACTCCGGTGCCTCTTTGAAAGTGAAGATCTTCTAGCAGCGGACTCATGATCGCTGCTGAACGCATCAGCTTTGATAGGCTGCATGGCAATGTTGCAGCTCAAGCTTTGAGTGTGGGACAGCATTGAACAGTGTGCTGCAGATTTCAGGTACCAGTAGGTACTTTGGATGTGTCTGCATTGTATGCACCTAGTGTTTGCAACTCCTTCACAATCAAAGTGATGCACCTGCCTGGAATCAACGAAACAATGAGGTTTTGATGCAACATATCATGATGCATCGTTTGGGCAGTGATTCAAGAAACACACAGTTAAACACCGAATGCCTAATCAATTGTACTTTGGTCAAGCAGCTTCAAATGGCTTGCTGAAGCAGCAGCAGAAGGAGATGCACGGGGGTTTACACCTTTTGTAGGGACTGTCTCATTTTTCCATGGGAGCGTGTGCAAGAACACATGATCAAAGCCAAAATAAGTCAATGCAATCGAATCGGCGGCTTGACTGCCTCACAAAGGAAACGGCAGAGCAAAGCTGCTCATGAGATGGACATGTTGCAGGAGGCTCATCAATATATTGTCATGCAATATGCGCAGCAACATGGTTCACGCCTTTGAGCCATGCGAAAGTTTGTCTAACCTGTGTTTGGAAGCCTTCCTTACAAACTTTTAGATCATTTCGCTCATGCAACAGTTGCGATCTCGTTTTGCGGTCGGCCACACATGGGAAGATGCGCTGGGCTTGTCCTTCGATGCAGATGCAGTGCCTGGCTTGCTGGCTCTAGACGCTTCTTTGACTTGTGTCAAGGTTCATCAACTCAGCGTGTGTAGCATTGCCTCCAGCCTTAGACAAACAAGCTCACCACGTACGTGCACACGAAACAGTTGAGAGCACAGCCGCACATACACACACACAGTTTTTTTTCAAGAACATGCCAAATGAAAACAATCAAATGCTTTGGTTGATGGATCACGAGAAACTCAATAACGGTAGTTTGTTTGCTTGCAATGGAAGAGGACAGTTTCAGCCGTCTCGGAGAAGACATCATTCCTGTGGTCCAGTTGGCTGCAGAGGGCCAGTGGTCCAAAGCCAAAGAACTGCACGAGAGGGTCACGACTCAAGTCACCTGCCGGCTGGAAGAAGGTCACGAGAATCTCCGCCCGACTCAGCGGAAGAAGCTGCGTCAATCCCGCCAACGACTTGAGCACTTACTCGCCTCAGTCTTGACCGTGGAGGGTCGGTGGCGACAGGCAGAGACACTCCTCAGAGAGCTCTTGCAATTGGCACGAAGGAGGTTGACGCAGGTTGCGTCAGAGGCAGAGGTCATTGACATGGTCAACAGCAGTACACAGCTTGCCACCCTCCTCCAGAGGAAAGGGCAATTGCAGGAAGCTGAGAAACTCCTCGAAGATGCCAGCCAAATTTTGTGCAGTCGCTTCGGAAAGGACCATCCACGCACCTTGGGCAGCATGAACAACCTGGCGAATTTCCTTCAAGAACAAGGCAAGTGGCAGAAAGCTGAGGAGATGCACGCAGAGGTGCTGGAAGGAATGCGCCGAGTTCTTGGACAGGACCACCAGGACACCCTGAGCAGCATGAGCAACCTGGCAGCTGTGCTTCAAAAACAAGGCAAGTGGCAGAAAGCTGAGGAGATGCACACAGAAGTGCTGGAAGGAACGCGCCGAGTTCTTGGACAGGACCACAAGGACACCCTGAGCAGCATGAGCAACCTGGCAGCTGTCCTTCAAAAACAAGGCAAGTGGCAGAAAGCTGAGGAGATGCACACAGAAGTGCTGGAAGGACTGCGCCGAGTTCTTGGACAGGACCACCAGGACACCCTGAGCAGCATGAGCAACCTGGCGATTGTCCTTCAAGAACAAGGCAAGTGGCAGAAAGCTGAGGAGATGCACACAGAAGTGCTGGAAGGAATGCGCCGAGTTCTTGGACAGGACCACCAGGACACCCTGAGCAGCATGAGCAACCTTGCGATCGTCCTTCAAAAACAAGGCAAGTGGGAGAAAGCTGAGGAGATGCACACAGAAGTGCTGGAAGCTAGGCGCCGAGTTCTTGGACAGGACCACCAGGACACCCTGAGCAGCATGAACAACCTGGCGATTGTCCTTCAAAAACAAGGCAAGTGGCAGAAAGCTGAGGAGATGCACACAGAAGTGCTGGAAGCTAGGCGCCGAGTTCTTGGACAGGACCACCAGGACACCCTGAGCAGCATGAGCAACCTGGCGATCGTCCTTCAAAAACAAGGCAAGTGGGAGAAAGCTGAGGAGATGCACACAGAAGTGCTGGAAGCTAGGCGCCTAGTTCTTGGACAGGACCACCAGGACACCCTGAGCAGCATGAACAACCTGGCGATTGTCCTTCAAAAACAAGGCAGGTGGCAGAAAGCTGAAGAGATGCACACAGAAGTGCTGGAAGCTAGGCGCCGAGTTCTTGGACAGGACCACCAGGACACCCTGAGCAGCATGAACAACCTGGCGATTGTCCTTCAAAAACAAGGCAAGTGGCAGAAAGCTGAGGAGATGCACACAGAAGTGCTGGAAGCTAGGCGCCGAGTTCTTGGACAGGACCACCAGGACACCCTGAGCAGCATGAACAACCTGGCGATTGTCCTTAAAAAACAAGGCAAGTGGCAGAAAGCTGAGGAGATGCACGCAGAAGTGCTGGAAGGAACGCGCCGAGTTCTTGGACAGGACCATCAGGACACCCTGAGCAGCATGAGCAACCTGGCGATTGTCCTTCAAGAACAAGGCAAGTGGCAGAAAGCTGAGGAGATGCACACAGAAGTGCTGGAAGGACTGCGCCGAGTTCTTGGACAGGACCACCAGGACACCCTGAGCAGCATGAGCAACCTTGCGATTGTCCTTCAAAAACAAGGCAGGTGGCAGAAAGCTGAAGAGATGCACACAGAAGTGCTGGAAGCTAGGCGCCGAGTTCTTGGACAGGACCACCAGGACACCCTGAGCAGCATGAGCAACCTGGCGATTGTCCTTCAAAAACAAGGCAAGTGGCAGAAAACGCGCCGAGTTCTTGGACAGGACCACAAGGACACCCTGAGCAGCATGAACAACCTGGCGATCGTCGTTCAAAAACAAGGCAAGTGGCAGAAAGCTGAGCAGATGCACGCAGAAGTGCTGGAAGCTAGGCGCCAAGTTCTTGGACAGGACCACCAGAACACCCTGAGCAGCATGAACAACTTGGCAACTGTCCTTCAAGAACAAGGCAAGTGGCAGAAAGCTGAGGAGATGCACACAGAAGTGCTCGAAGCTAGGCGCCGAGTTGTTGGACAGGACCACCAGAACACCCTGAACAGCATGAACAACCTGGCGATTGTCCTTCAAAAACAAGGCAGGTGGCAGAAAGCTGAAGAGATGCACACAGAAGTGCTGGAAGCTAGGCGCCTAGTTCTTGGACAGGACCACCAGGACACCCTGAGCAGCATGAACAACCTGGCGATTGTCCTTCAAGAACAAGGCAAGTGGCAGAAAGCTGAGGAGATGCACACAGAAGTGCTGGAAGGAATGCGCCGAGTTCTTGGACAGGACCACCAGGACACCCTGGGCAGCATGAACAACCTTGCGACTGTCCTTCAAGAACAAGGCAGGTGGCAGAAAGCTGAGGAGATGCACACAGAAGTGCTGGAAGGAATGCGCCGAGTTCTTGGACAGGACCACCAGGACACCCTGGGCAGCATGAACAACCTGGCGATTGTCCTTCAAGAACAAGGCAAGTGGCAGAAAGCTGAGGAGATGCACACAGAAGTGCTGGAAGGACTGCGCCGAGTTCTTGGACAGGACCACCAGGACACCCTGAGCAGCATGAGCAACCTTGCGACTGTCCTTCAAGAACAAGGCAAGTGGCAGAAAGCTGAGGAGATGCACACAGAAGTGCTCGAAGCTAGGCGCCGAGTTCTTGGACAGGACCACCAGGACACCCTGAGCAGCATGAACAACCTTGCGACTGTCCTTCAAGAACAAGGCAAGTGGGAGAAAGCTGAGGAGATGCACACAGAAGTGCTGGAAGGAATGCGCCGAGTTCTTGGACAGGACCACCAGGACACCCTGAGCAGCATGAGCAACCTGGCGATTGTCCTTCAAGAACAAGGCAAGTGGCAGAAAGCTGAGGAGATGCGCACAGAAGTGCTCGAAGCTAGGCGCCGAGTTCTTGGACAGGACCACCAGAACACCCTGAACAGCATGAACAACCTGGCAGCTGTCCTTCAAGGCAAATGCCAGAAAGCTGAGGAGATGCACACAGAAGTGCTGGAAGGACTGCGCCGAGTTCTTGGACAGGACCACCAGGACACCCTGAGCAGCATGAGCAACCTTGCGACTGTCCTTAAAAAACAAGGCAAGTGGCAGAAAGCTGAGGAGATGCACACAGAAGTGCTGGAAGCTAGGCGCCGAGTTCTTGGACAGGACCACCAGGACACCCTGAGCAGCATGAACAACCTTGCGACTGTCCTTCAAGAACAAGGCAAGTGGGAGAAAGCTGAGGAGATGCACACAGAAGTGCTGGAAGGAATGCGCCGAGTTCTTGGACAGGACCACCAGGACACCCTGGGCAGCATGAGAAACCTCGCGGATGTTGTGTCAGCTCGAGATAGAGAGGATTGGCAGTTCCGGTTTTCATTGAAGGATGATTCTCATCGCAGCCGACTGGAAGATGCCAAAGAGAAGGCGCGAAAAGCTGCTGACGCTTTGAAGTTGCGAGTGGATGCTGACCACCCAGACTTGTTGAGGCTTCGCATGCTGTTAGCAAAGCTTTTGGTTCAGACCAACGAGCCAAGTTCTTTGCAAGAGTCCGAGGATTTGCTGCGCCAAGTCGTTCCTGCCTGTAGTTGCAGGTACGGTCCTGAGCATCGCTGGACCCAAGAAGCCACGATGAATTTGGTCTTTGTGCTGGAAGAGCTGGGCAAAACCAAAGAAGCAGAAGAGTGGCAGCAGCGCATTGTTCATCGCCTTGAGCTTCTGCAACTGGCAATGAAGGTGATCGCCTTCTTAGTAATAAAAGGTGTAAAAGTAATCTGCTTCCTTGTCGATGTGCTGTACCGAACCCAACAAAAGTGGCAGTGCCTTGCTCGGGTGGATGAAGATGCTGCAGAAGGCCTAGACCTAGATGATCTTGCCTGGGTGCAAGATGTTCTTCGGCACAAGCAACAGATGATTTGGGCCAGATACAGGGCAGTTGGATCATCCAACCAGAGTGTCTCGCAGGCCTGTTCCG